AGTCCATTCTGCACAGTGCTCCTCACTCACCTCCTGAATCTCACCCAGCCTGAAGTCCACTCTGGACAGTGCTCCTCACCTCCTGAATCTCACTCAGCCTGAAGTCCATCCTGGACAGTGCTCCTCACCTCCTGAATCTCACTCAGCCTGATGTCCACTCTGGACAGTGCTCCTCACTCACCTCCTGAATCTCACCCAGCCTAAAGTCCATTCTGGTCAGTGCTCCTCACCTCCTGAATCTCACCCAGCCTAAACTAGCCCGAGATTGCTGGTTGTGCCTAAAGGCCAAACCCCCATATTATGTTGGATTAGGAGTAGAAGCCATGCTACAAATTCTTTCTTGTCATACGTGCCCCCATGCCCTTACACTAGGAGACGTGTCCGGAATGCCTCCTGTCTAACTAGCAGGGTATAATTTATCTGCTTCTCCCTCTCAGGCTACCTGGAATCAGTCCCTGCTTACTTCCTTAAACGCCTCAGTCTCCTATCAGGCACCCAACAATACCTGGTTAGCCGGCACCTCAGGTCTCACTCACTGCATCAGTGGGACTGAACCCTGACCTCTCCTGTGTGTTGGTTCATGTACTCCCCCAGGTCTACGTGTACAGTGGGTCAGAAGGACAACTCCTCATCGCTTCTCCTGAATTGCATCCCAGGTTTTGCCGAGTCGCCCCACTCCTTGTACCCCTTGTGGCCAGCCTTAGCATAGCTGGGTCAGCAGCCATCGGCACAACTGCCCTGATTCAAGAAGAAACTGGGCTGATGTCCCTATCTCAACAAGTAGATGATGATTTCAGCAATCTCCAATCAGCCATAAATATACTGCATGCCCAGGTAGAGCCTCTAGCAGAAGTAGTTCTTCAAAACCGCCGAGGCTGAGCTCTGCTTTCTCTCCCAAGGAGGGTTACGTGCAACTTTGGGAGAAAGTTGTTGTTTCTATGCCAATCAATCTGAAGTCATAAAAAATACTCTTCAAAAAGTTCGAGAAAATCTAGGTAAATGCCAGCAGGAACAGGAGAGTAACACCCCCTGGTACCAAAGCATGTTTAACTGGAATCCCTGGCTAACTAATTACCGGGTTGGCGAGAGCCCTTCTCCTCCTCTTAAGGTTTGTCTTCAGGCCTTGTCTATTAAATTGGTTGCTTAACTTCATAAAGCAGCACATAGCTTCTGTCAAACTTGTGTATCTTAGAACCCAATATAACCCCCTTGTTATAACCGAGGAATCAATGATTTGATTCCCCCAAAACACGAGTGGGAATGTGATGCCCTCCCTTGTTTTAACCTGATTGACTCTCTCAGCTGAGAGAGCCGGACAGACTCCATTTTGGTTTCTTTGCTTGCAGCCCCTTGCCCCCCCTCCCTTAAAGACATAACTGGTGCAAGCTGACTCCAGGCACACCCAGGAGTGCGCTTACTGATAAGATACTGAGGCAGGCTGTGCCAGCGGCCCGTGGACACGCGCTCGCTTGGTGGTACCCAAAGCCCCTGCATTTGTCTCTTTGTGACAGTTTAAGCCCCTGAACCTGGAACTATTTTCCTGTAACTGTTTCTGTAACCATCTATCTTTTAACTTTTTGCCTGTTCTGCTTCTGTAAAAATTGCTTTAGACTCCCCCTCTCCTATTTAGACCAAGATATAAAAAGAAATCTAGCCCCTTCTTCAGGGCTGAATTTTGAGCTCTAGCAGTCTCTCAGTCACCAGCAATAAAGGACCCCTGAATTAGTCTCAGAGTGTGGCGTTTCTCTATAACTCACTCGGTTACAACAACAGGAGCTTGTTTGCCCCCCAAAGTTCCACGCACCCCTTGCCACCAGCCTCTTTCTTCTTATCAGGTCCCTTCCCTAGGCATAGGCCTGAGTGTGCAGCCTGGGCAGCTGCTAGTCCCAGAGATGGGACCTGTCTGCACCCTGGGGAGCTCCCCGTGGCCAACTCCAGCTTTGTCAACCCCGGCAAGGGTGGGTGGCAGGCATCACCTGGTCCTGTGGTTCAGGGTAGCTCTCTTGGGCTGAGTGCCCCCGCTCCCCTACTCCCCCCAACCACCTCCCCCTCAGCTGGCCGACTCTGGACATAGTGGTTGACTGAGTCTGAGCTAGCCTCGTCTTGGCAGCTCCCTCTCCTGCCTGCGAGGGCGACTTCACTTTGACTTCAAATCTGCAGTGATGTGCAGATCACAGATTCAGCCCTGAGCCCCACCAAGACACAGCAGGGACAGGGGCAGCTGGCCCAGGGGCGCCCCAGGCTCCAGTTCCTGCCCCCTCCCACCCCAAGGCCCCATGAGCTTCCCTTCCTCCATCCCTCTGTGAATAGATGTAGGCCAGACCTCAAGAGGCAGCTAAGGGATGGGGAGAGAACAGAGGACTTTCCCCACAGACGCCCAGAACCCACATCCAACCTCAGCCCACAACTCCCCGGCGTAGGCCCCCTGGCTTCTCCTGCTGAGGTGAATATGTTCGTGGCCATCATTTCTTTGGGGGAAATTAGATTCTTTGGGGCTCCTGTTGCTCTCTGCTGCTCGCTCTCCTCTGCTGCCAGTCCCACAACCTAAGAGTGCCCCTGGGTAGAGGGGCGGAAGGACACCCACCCTTACAGCTCCCCGCATGAGGCTGGAAAGTGTCCAATTCTCCCATAGACCCGATGTATACAGCTTCCTTGAATAAACAGAGAAATTGATCCCGCTAGTCTTAAAGAAAGTTACATTTGTTTCATCTGAGTTCCCTGAAACTTACCAGCCCAGGGTCTGACAATGAGAAGCCAGCCCCTCAGCCCCTATGATTGCCTAAGGCACCACCTGCTGCCTGGTAACCAACTTCTCTTCCTCACCCCTCCCCAATTCTTGTTTTTCCACACACGGTTACATTTCTTCGTGGCTAGCCCTGCAGGACCCCCAGTCTATCAAGTAACCCGGATGTTGAGAGAGGCTCTCCCGGCCCCCTTCCCTGCGCAGCTCTTTCCCTCCTCCTGTCTCTGCCCTGCCCCCCCCCCTTCCGCAGAGGCCCAGTTGGGCCTCTGAAAAACCGCGGGGGTGGTGGGTGGTGGGCTCTGCCTGGGGAACCTGGGGAGGAAGGGCGGTTCTCCAAGTCCCCTTGGGTCGCACCCCAGTCATTCCGACCTTGCATTCGTGCGCGGCTTCCTTGCCCTCTCTGTGCAGCCAAAAGGGGCAAATTCAGGAACTGCAAGATGGCGCGCCAGGTGAAACAAGCGGCTGCGCCTGCAGAGGTGCTGGGACCCAGACTACGGTGGCCTTTCCAGCATCAGTTTCCGAACCAACCCGCCTCCTGCACCCTGTTCCTACCGAGAGGTGACAACGTGCTAGCAGCCCTCGCTCACTCTCGGCACCTCCTCCGCCTCGGCGTCTGCTCTAGCCGCGCTCCAGGAGCCCTTCAACCCGCAGCTGCGCTGCGAGGGCCCCTCTCTGGGGCTGGCCAGGGCCAGAGCCGGCTCCCTCTGCTCGCGGGGAGGTGTGGAGGGAGAGGCGCGGGCGGGAAGCCAGGCTGCGCGTGGGGCTCACGGGCCGGCGCGGGTTCCGGTGGGCGCGGGCTCTGTGTGCCGGGCCCTCGCTGTGGCCTGCTGGGCTTGATGGAGGGAAGAGCTACCTCTGGGCCGCCGGAGTCCCCGGGCTGGGTGGCGCAAAGTCCGGGGCGACTGCTATTAAGAGGTGGAGCCGGCTGGGCTTCTGGGTCAGGTGGGGACCCGGAGAACTTTTCTGTCCAGCTAAAGGTTTGTGAACGCACCAATCAGCACTCTGTCAAGACGGACCAATCAGAGCTCTGTAAAACGGACCAATCAGATCTCTGTAAAGACGGACCAATCAGATCTCTGTAGACGGACCAATCAGCTCTCTGTCAACACAGACCAATCAGAGCTCTGTAAAACGGACCAATCAGCTCTCTGTCAAGACGGACCAATCAGAGCTCTGTAAAACGGGCCAATCAGCTCTCTGTCAAGACGGACCAATCAGATCTCTGTAAAACAGACCAATCAGCAGTATGTGGGTGGGGTCAGATAAGAATAAAAGCAGGCTGCCCGCCCCAACAGCCACAACTCGTTGGGGCCCCTTTTGCACGCGTTGTTTGATTTGTTCTTTTGCTGTTTGCAATGAATCTTGTTGCTGCTTACTCTCTGGGCCTGCGCCACCTTTATGAGCTGTAACACCTCGAAGGTCTGCAGCTTCACTCCTGAGGCCAGCAAGACCCCTAACCCACTGGAAGGAAGGAACAAGTCCAGATGTGCAGCCTTTAAGAGCTGTAACACTCACCTCCAGGGTCCACAGCAGGAACCCACCAGAAGGAAGAAACTCCAGATACATCTGAACATCTGAAGGACAAACTCCTGACACACCATCTTTAAGAACTGTAACACTCACCGCGAGGGTCTGCAGCTTCATTCTGGAAGTCAGCGAGACCAAGAACCCACCCATTCTGGACATACTACTGGCACCCCGCTCCTACCAACGCCCTGCCCTGCCGTCACTCTCCACCCACCCGCGTCCCGGTCCTAAGCACGCCCCGCCCCGCCAACACCCAACTGCTACCCGTCCTGCAGCACCCCATCCTACCCACGCGCGCCTCGCCAGAAGCCCAATCTTACACGCCCTCTGCTCCTACCCACACCCTGCCGTGCCAGCACCTCAGTATTATCCACACCCTGCTCCTACCCACACCCTGCTCCTACTGTGCCCCACCCCACCAGCACCCCACTCCTAGGAGCACCGTGCTCTGACGCCCCCCACACCTACCCCCACCCATGCCCCACCAGCACCCTGCTCCTACTGGAGCCCATCCACACTGCACCCTGGTCCTGCCTGCACCGTGATCCTCCCCCTGCCCAGCTCCTGCCCACTTGAGGTCTTCAGACTCTTAACATTTAGACAACCACACAATCCATTAGATCCATTCAAAATGTTTAATTATAAACTAAGTTATGATGTGAAAGCCAAATACAAAAACAAAATATGCTGGAATTTAATATGAAATTAAAGAGGTCTAGGAAATAAGAAGTCACCAAATTCTCAAAAATACCTTTATTAAAGTAACATGTAATTTTTAAAAGTAGTTTTAGACAAATGAAGACAACTTCATTTATGGCACATAAAATTCCATAATCTTGTGCATAACACTTTACAATGAGAACTTTTGTTAACCAGGACACATTATTTTCTATGTTCATTCTTTTGACACATAGATTTATGTTTCCTTCCTAGACTTGTAAAAATGCCTGTTTCGGATTCCTTCAGAGTACAGATGAAAAGGAAATCTACCATCACCATGCAGTAGATGTGACAATTCAAAGAGGTGCCGTGGCTCTAAGTAGACATTTCGGTAAATGTGAAGAAGCGAGGTTCGGTGAAGATCAGAAAGGAAAGGAGTCACCACTGCTATGCTTGTCACACAAAATGGGCTTTAAGTCTACAAAGCACAAAAATAGAAAACAAAGGTCATTATAAAATGATAAAGGGATCAATTCAGCAAGAGGGTGGAACAGCTGTCAATGTAAACACAGCTGACGCAGGAGCCCCAGTTATTAAAGAGTCATCGAAAAACAGAGACAGGCAACAATAGCTGGGGACTCCAACACCCACTCTTAGCAACAGACACACCCTCTAGGCAGAAAAGCAACGAAGACCAGACTTACACACCAAAATAGAAGTCAGAGGGACCTGACAGGTAATTACAGAACATTTCACCCACCAACTTCAGAACCTGCGTTCTTCTCATCAGCTCCCAAAACATTCTCCAGGATATACCACATTTCAGGCCACAAAACAAATCTCAAAAAAGCATTTAAAAAATGAAAATCATGGAGAAACTCCGTCTCTACTAAAAATACAGAAAATTAGCCGGGCGTGGTGGTGCATGCCTGTAATCCCAGCTACCCGAGAGCTTCCCAAAAGAAGTCAACCCAGGGGAGCTGTGGGCAAGCATTCCAAGAACAAGCATTCACACTGATGCAGGCCAGACACTTGCATAAAGGTCCTAGGAGCAGACTGAGCACACAGTCTGTAGCCAAGCAGGGACAAGCGGACAAGCCATGTGCAACTCGGAGGATTTTTTTTTTTTTTTTTTTTTTTTTTTTTTTTGAGAAGGAGTTTTGCTCTTGTTGCTCAGGCTGGAGTGCAATGGCGTGATCTCCACTCACCGCAACCTCCACCTCTTGGGTTCAAGTGATTCTCCTACCTCAGTCTCCCAAGTAGCTGGGTTACAGGCATGCGCAACCACGCCCGGCTAATTTTGTATTTTTTCAGTAGAGACGGGGTTTCTCCATGTTGGCCAGGGATGGTCTCAATCTCCTGACTTCGTGATCTGCCCACTTCGGCCTCCCAAAATACTGAGATTACAGGCGTGAGCCACCATGCCCAGCCAAGACTGAAATCTTAATCAAAGAAAAGCAGTTGGGAAACTTAGTTACCTGTGTTTTATTCAAAGCCCATCCTCTCCTTCCTGTTCATGAACAGCAGGCATCCTGTGGTGACTAAAGAAGGGCCTACCAGCTAAGGGACTCCATAAGCCCGAGGAGCAGCTTCTGCAGGAGCTCGGGCAGGTTCCCTGGAAAACGTGACAGTGCCAGGCCACGGTGCCCTGTTCAGAAATACAAGACTCAGATTTAGTAAAGCCAGTAGTGTAATGTGAAATTTGTTCAAAAACTCCTTAACCAAATCTTTTCATTTCATAAGACGATGTATTCTATCAACAGATTTTTTTTTTAACTATACGTTCATACTTACGGCATTAAGAATCTGTGACTGGCCAGTGACATGCGTCTGGTTCATCAATCTTAGTGGCAGAGCTTTCCGGCATCCACAACTCTAGTCACCAAAATCAAGAATGTATTTTTCTCTTTTTACCTAATTACATAAAAGGGGCTGATTTATGAAAAGCAATAAATTAATAAATAGCACAACTTATGTTCATATCATTGCCACTTCTAGCCACAAATTAAGAGTCAGGATTAAGGAAAACTTACCTAAGTTTTCCCAGACTACTTTAAAATTGCTTTTTTTCTACAAAAATCAATGTTAAATTCTTCTTTTGAGGTAGTCTGAATTAGGTTGCTGTTAATTGCAAAAGACTATTAGATCTTAAGATGAACTGACAATTTTATAAAATAAATAGACTTCCCCATCCTGGCAAACACGGTGAAACCCCGTCTCTACTAAAAAATACAAAAAACTAGCCGGGCGCGGTGGCGGGCGCCTGTAGTCCCAACTACTCGGGAGGCTGAGGCAGGAGAATGGCGTGAACCCGGGAGGCGGAGCTTGCAGTGAGCTGAGATCTGGCCACTGCACTCCAGCCTGGGCGGCAGAGCGAGACTCCGTCTCAAAAAATAATTAAATAAATAAATAAATAAATAAATAAATAAATAAATAGACTTCCTTTCTACTATTAGAAAGTTCTAATAATGAATTCTATTATTGTAATAATGACTTCTCAATTCCATTTTAAAATATTAATATATTGGCATTTTCAGACTTAATCTGAAAATGTTTTAAATATCAAAATAGACATATCCAAAGTTTACGACAAGGGTCTACAATCATGATGGGCACACTTCCTTGAACATGGGGGCCCAACCCAACCCAGACCCATCACACCCTCAGCGTGTGGAAATGTTAAACTGTACAGGATCCATGGCTGGACACAAAAATCTGTAGGTGTCCCTGACATAAAATGCCATAGTACTTGCCTTCAGCCTGGACGCACCCTCCAATATCTTTCAAATGACCTCTAGATTACTCACAATACCTAATACAATGGAAATGCTACATAAATGGTTGTTATACTTTATTGCATAAAGAATAATGGCAAGAAAAAAAGCTTGTACATGTTCAGTACAGATGCAACCATCCTTTTTTTCTGGAATATTTTTGATCTGAGGTTGCCAGAAAGTGAGAATGCAGGACCCACAGATAAAGGGGGCTGACTGTATTTAACACACACACATTTTCTTTTGCCTGAGTAAAAAAAAAAAAAAAGTACTCATAACACATAACACAGCTAAAGGACGTCAACAAAACTATTCTTCCCATTCAACCTCAAATTGATAGAGACGACCTTCAGAGTCCACGCAGAACCTTTTCTTTCCTTAATGCTCACTAGCTTTTAATCATCAGAACTAATAGTTAAATATGTTGCCCTTACAAATAAATCCAAATTAAAACAACACAGAAATGACATTTTATTTTTTCATTATTACTGAACACCTACTCTGTGTTACATACTGTTTAACCACCAGTGACATATTAATAAGCAAAAGAGAAAAACTCCTGCCTCCTGAAACTTACAGCGTAACAGCACTTTACAGAATAGACACATCCTTGAAAATCCGTGTGACGCTCAGGGACGCTCCCACCAACGTGCATGAAAGTTTCAGGAAGGTTCGTGTTCAAGCAGCTTTGCTGAAGCAGAGGAGACTCCACTTGTCTTTCTTACAAACTGTCACAAGACACACCTACAATTTCAACTCAGGAAATACACTCAGCTTTTTATTAAGTCTTCCCTAGATCCAGTAATGTGAATGCAAATAAACCTTTGTAACTTATACCAAAATAAAACTTCTGAATAACAGATCATTTTTCCATGATTCAGTCTTGTTCCTCTGTTTAATAAATAAGTCAGTTACTCTTCAACTTCAGTCATACTCTCAAAAGTCCTGAACAATCCAGAAAGGAAGATCCACCTCTCCTAAGTATTTTTATTTTAAAAAAAAATTCACTACACTGAACAAGATAACATTTCACTTCCAAAGTTAAGTCCAAAAAAAAAAAAAAATTAACTGTGACTTCTTACATCTGTATGTCAAAATCAGACTCTTAGTGAAACAGTTCTAATAAACATTCCCTCCAGTAACCCTCATTTCCTCCACAGAATTTATCAACAATTCCTTTGGCTCCAGAGAATCAATCCTGAATTCTTGCCAAGATTGCACCACTGCATTCCAGCTTTGGTGAGAGAGCAAGACTCCGTCTCAAAACAAGGAAAACCTGGAGTAAAAGGAGAATCTGACTTCCTGAGTTATCACATTAAGTTTGAAACATCCAGTTTATAACAAAAACAAATCACAAGGCACACAAAGAAACTGGAAAGTATGGCCCATTCAGAGGAACTAAGTAAGTGAATATAAAATATACCTGAGGATACTCAGATATTAGACATACTTATTAGACAAAAACTTAACCACAACTCTTAAAGATGCCCAAAGAGCTTAAGAAAGACATGGATACTAAAGGAAAATTACCTGTGAGCAAAATAAGAACCTCAATAAAGAGATAATTATAAAAAGAAATCAAAAAGTATTTTGCAATTAAAAATTAAAATACCTGAAATTAAAAAAAAAAATTACTAGAAGGGGCCAGGCACGGTGGCTCACGCCTGTAATCCCAACACTTTGGGAAGCCGAGGTGGGCAGATCATGAGGTCAGGAGATCAAGACCAGCCTGGGCAACACGGTGAAACCTCGTGTCTTACTAAAAATATGAAAATTAGCCAGGTGTGGTGGCGGCACCTGTAGTCCCAGTGACTTGGGAGGCTGAGGCAGGAGATTCGCTTGAACCTGGGAGGCGGAGGTTGCAGAGAGATTGCGCCACTGCACTCCAGCCTGGGCTACAGAGTGAGACTCCATATCAAAAAAAAAAAAAAAAAAATTACTAGAAGGGATTGATTTGACCAAGCAGAGAAAGAATTAGCAAATCTGAAGACAAAACAATTGAAATAATCCTGTATCAGAAACAGAAGGAAAATGGTTGCAGGAACATCAGCTGAGCTTAAGGGACCTGTGGGACAGCATCAAGTGGACCAAATCAGTTTATAAGAATCACAGAACAGAGGGAAGAAAAGAACATCTGAAGAAATAATGAAAATCTAAGAAACTTCCCAAGTTTGATTTAAAATATTAAGACATTATAAATATCCAAGGCTTGGCATGGGGGCTCCCACCTGTACACTCAGTGCTCTGGGAGGCCAAGGTGGAAGGGTTGTTACAGGCCAGGAATTCAAGATCAGCCTGGGAAACACAGTGAGACCCTGTCTCTATGAAAAAATCATAGTTAAGATGAAAAGCTGGTAGGGTGGTGTGCACATACAATCTCAGCTACTCAGGAGGCTCACGCAAAAGGACTGCTTGAGCCCTTTCAGCCTGGGTGACTGAGACCGTCTTTTTTTTTTTTTGAGATGGAGTTTCACTCTTGTTGCGAGGGCACAATCTCAGCTCACTGCAGCCTCCGCCTCCCAGGTTCAAGCAATTCTCTTGCCTCAGCCTCCCGAGTAGCTGGGATTACAGTTACCCGCCACCACGCCTGGCTAATTTTGTATTTTTAGTAGAGATGGGGTTTCTCCATGTTGGTCAGGCTGGTCTCAACCGCCCGACCTCAGATGATCCACCCACCTCAGCCTCCCAAAGTGCTGGGATTACAGGCGTGAGCCACCATGCCCGGCTATCAGTAGGTTCCTTACCAGAAACCCTGGAGGCCAGAAGGCAGCAGGGTTGATTAATTCGAAGTACTAAGTGGGGAAATCCTTTCAACTGGGAATCTTAGATCTGACTGCTAGGGTTGAAATGTGTCCACCAAAGCTCATGTCAAAACAAAATATGAGATGTATGCATACAGCTTTTTTCTTTTTGAAGCTCATTAGCTATCATTAGTGTTAGTGTATTTTATGTGTGGTCCAGGACAATTCTTTCAATGTGGTCCAAAGAAGCCAAAACACAGAACCACCCTGAAAAATGTACTTACCATCACTCAACTGTACATTTAAAATGATTAGCTGGTAAAGTTTATGTTACATATACTTTACAATTTAGAATTTAAAATCTAATGTGTGCAAAACAGAGATGTACAGAATAAAGCAAAAAAGTAAGAATTCTTTTAGTAAATACTGGAAAAGTGGGTCTGAGTGAGAAAAAAGTAACCCACATGCAAAACTCACAGCATAATTAGTAAAACTATAACAGTATTAGAAGAAAATGCTGGATGGTGGGGAACCCATGGATGGTCCTGACCACTGAAGAAATGCAGCAGAGGACAATGACAGATTCTAATAGGTGAATAATGTTTATGAAATAATAGGTAGTAAGATATACGTAAAAGAAAAAAAAACACACAATGGGAGAAGTCTGAAGCAGGCAAAACTCTTAAAATCCAACTCTATAATAACTTATACAAATATAAAGCTGATACCTACAATTCCCTTGATAATTTCATTTTTGAGATTTTTCCTTTTTAGGTAGGGAGCACTTTCAACACCTGATAGCACCAAGCACCAGAAACTCCCCCCAGCTGACGTCAGTTGGGGGAAAACCCTCTATTTCTTTTTTTTTTTTTTCCTGAGACAGAGTCTTGCTCTGTCACCCAGGCTGGAGTCCAGTGGTGGCATCTGGCTGATTGCAACTTCTGCCTCCCAGGTTCAAGCAGTTCTCCTGTCTCAGCCTCCCAAGTAGCTGCGATTCCAGGTGCATGCCACCAGGTCCTGCTAATTTTTGTATTTTTAGTAGAGACGGAGTTTCACCATGTTGGTCAGGCTGGTCTTGAACTCCTGACCTTGTGATCTGCCCGCCTCAGCCTTCCAAAGTGCTGAGATTACAGACATGAGCCACAGCACCTGGTCATCTTTTTTTTTTTTTTTTTTTTTTGAGACAGAGTCTTGCTCTGTCGCCCAGGCTGGAGTGCAGCGGCCAGATCTCCGCTCACTGCAAGCTCCGCCTCCCGGGTTCACGCCATTCTCCTGCCTCAGCCTCCCGAGTAGCTTGAACTACAGGTGCCTGTAGTTCTTGTATTTTTTTATACAATTTTTTGTATTTTTTTTAGTAAAGACAGGGTTTCACCATGTTATCCAGGATGGTTTCGATCTCCTGACCTCGTGATCCACCCGCCTCAGCCTCCCAAAGTGCTGGGATTACAGGTGTAAGCAACCGTGCCCGGCCCACCATCTCTATTTCTTATACACAGTAATATTATAACAAGTAAGATACAAATTCACTTAATATGTAGCTTCTGTTTCTGAGTTCTGTGGGTTCCTGAGTTCTGTGGATGTCATTCAGTAAGATAAGAAAGCTACTGATCTCATCAAATCAAGGACACAATACTGTTCCCTCAGGTAGCACCAATAGCATGGCCTCAAAATATGGGAAAGATAATATTTTATGGAAGGATGTATTTTAAGGCTGATCTACAGATAGGAATTTTTTTTCCAATCCAAGCAATAAAGTTTGATGCAGATGTTCACTCCACATCCTGTCCTGATCCTCAGCGGCCGGAGGCCAGCCTGCACTTGCCTTCACATGCTGTCTTCCTTCATGGCTCCAGGCTAAGACTGCCAGGAGGCGCCTATAAATGTGGTCATCTTATGGGTTAAACACTTTGTTAGTTTTGTCTGTCATCAAGCCTGGAGTGCAGTGGCATGATCACAGCTTTCTGTAACCTCCAACTCCTAAGCTCAAGTGATCCTCCCAGCTCAGCCTCCTGCACAGCTAATTTTTAAGTTTTCTGTGGAGATGGGGTCCTGCTTTTGTTGCCTAGGCTAGTGTCCAACTCCTGGTTTCAAGTAACCCTCATGCCTTGGTCTCCAAAAGTGCTGAGATTACAGGAGTGAGCCATCATGCCCAGCTCAGATTAAATACTTTGTTTGTTTGTCTTTGTTTTGAGTTGGAGTCTCGCTCTGTCACCAGACTGGAGTGCCGTGGTGCAATCTTGGATCACTGCAACCTCCACCTCCCGGGTTCAAGTGATTCTCCTGCCTCAGCCTCCCAAGCGGCTGGGACTACAGACATGTGCCACCATGCCCAGCTAATTTTTGTGTTTTTAGTAGAGATGGGGTTTCACCATGTTGGCCAGGATGGTTTTGATCTATTGACCTCATGATCCACCTGCCTCAGCCTCCCAAAGTGTTGGGATTACAGGTGTGAGCCACCGCACCCGGCCTAGATTAAATACTTCTTTAGAAGATGGACTAGAAATGGGTCATCAGAAATTGTTTTTACTTACATATGAAGAATTCCAATCTTCAAAAAACTTTTAGAACTCAATCAGAACTTGAGAACTTCCTTCAGTAGGTGCTGTGATTCAATAACCAGAATTTTGCTTTACTTTATATACAAGTATTTCTGTTATTTTCCTACTAAATTACATGAAGGGAGTCATCTGTACGTGAGCTGCACCACCGAGCAGCACGCTTATCAGTGAGAAGGTGCCTGACAATTCTCAGTTGAAATGTCCTGACCAAGTTTCCCCAGAAATATGTGAGTACTCAACTGTATTAAAACTAAATGTATTGTTTTCAATGACAAATAGTCACTAATTAGTAAAATGATTACTGTGCTGTAATAGAACAAGCCCTTAGTTCAAAATTAAACGGCCACAGACTGACATATGCATAAAGCTTATCAACCATCACATATCACATTTTACAAAAATCAAGACGACTAACAGATGGTCTCTTCTTCTTCTTTTGTGAAACAGGGTCTTGCTCTGTCACCCAGGCTGGAGTGCAGTGGCACAATCACAGTTCACTGCAGCCTCCACCTCCTGGGCCCAAATGATCCTCCAACGTCAGCCTCCCAGGTAGCTGGGACCATAGTTGCACGCCACCACTCCCGGGGGGTGTGTGTGGGGGTGTGTGGGGGTGTCGTCTCCCTATGATGCCTCGGCTGGTCTCAAACTCCTGGGCTCAAGCAATTCTCCTTCTTTGGCCTCCCAAAATGCTAGGATTACAGGCATGAGCTTAATCATACCAAAGAAATTATATTTTAAAAGTAAAGTCAAAAGTAGACTTTAAGAACAAAGGAATCCTATTTCTATACTTATTAGTCCCAGGTAGACAAACAACGTGGCCTTCCTCAGGCTCTTCCTGAGTCGTTTCAGAAGAGTGTGAGCCATGAGCAACCAGCGCTGTTATTTCCCGGGTGAAACTGACACTTTACTGTTTTCATTTACCTGTTGAAATGACTTAGCTGTATTAACCATTTAAATTAAAATTAAACATTCTGAAGGGGAAAACATGGGGAGCAGACAACATCTACCTCAATGAAGGAGGCAGGTAATCAATGTAAAAGGAATGAGAAAAAATCACCATTGGAACCACAGGTGTAATCGATGTTTCCAAGAGGCTTCAGCAATGACACTGAAACCAGCTCATGAAGGTTGCCGGGGAATAAAACGTTCACAGTGCTTTGATGTCTCGTCCCACAGATGACTAAGAACAAAGGGGAAAGCTCCCTTCACAAGGAGATGTCCAGTGGACACCACCTCAACCAAAATTACGAAACATAGCTTCATCAATCGTGGGACAAACAGACTCAAACATCCCCCGGTGTGAGGCAATAAGTACCCAACACTGCCTCATCTGGATTAGGCATTATTCTCTGTTTAATCTGAATCCACTCATGAGAACACTGTTCAATCGGTATTCTTGCCAAAATGCTCAATCTATTCTAGTCAGGAGAAGAAGAAAACCATCAGATATATCAGATTATGGGTCACTCTACAAAACAAAGAGCCTAGATTTTCCAAAACGTTTCATGTATTGAAAGAACTACTCCAAAGTAAAAGAAGAGAGGGACATGACAACCAAAGGCAAGGTTAATCTTTCATTAAACTGTGGGTGTAAACCAAAAATAAAGAACATTTTGGAGACAATTAGGTAAATCTGAATATGGGTTGTACATTAAATTACTGTATTATAGTTAGATGGTAGAATTGTAATTATGTAGAAATACGTCATTATTCGCAAGAGATAAATGCTGAAGTGTTGGGGTAAAACATCATGCTCTCTGCAACTTACTTTCAAATGATTCAGAGAAGAAAGTACTTACAGAAAGAGAAAGAAAATGCAAAGGTGGCAAATGCTAGCAACTTGTTAATCTGAATGAAGAATATGTAGATGTCCACTGTTTTACTTTTCAATTTTCTGTAGGCAAGGGAAAGATAGGAAGGAGGAAAGGTGCAGGTATTTCTTGTCAATTTATACCTGTAAAAAACAGAGTTAAAAGAAAACCAAAGGCTTAAAATTCATGTAAACATCCAATGAGATCAATAGTAATTTTCTGTCAAATTTCTGAAAAGCCATTAAGACTGTAACATACCTGACTAGGATCACTTGCAGGTAACAAAGTATTTTTTATGGAGGTTCCAGTCCTTCTACTTCATATGTTTTATTCCATCATTCCTGGAATTGCCAGTTGTTCAAAATAAACCTCTAAATGTTCATCATAAGACATATCATCATCAATATCATCCTTTAATAAAATTCAGAAAAAATAAAACAGGCTGTAGTGAGTAAACAAAAAATAATTTGTAATAAAAAGGGCTAAGACCTAAATGAGTCAATAAAATTCAGAAAAAATAAAACAGGCTCTAAGGTAGTGATTAAACAATAAATAATTTGTAATAAAAAAGACTAAGACATAAATGAGTCAATAAAATTCAGAAAAAAATAAAGCAAGCTTTAAAGTAGTGGCTAAACAATTTGTAATCAAAAATACCGATCAGACATAAATGAGTCAATAAAGTGTACATATTTTTTTTTTTGAGACAGAGTCTCATTCTGTTGCCTAGACTGAAGTGCAATGGTGTGATCTCAGCTCACTGCAATCTTCACCTCCCAGGCTCAAGCCATCCTCCCACCTCAGCCTCCTGAGTAACTGGGGCTACATGCCTGCAACACCACACCCGGATAATTTTTGTTTTGTTTTTGTTTTGTAGAGATGGGGTTTCCCCATGTTGTCCAGGCTGGTCTCAAAACTCCTGGACTCAAGCGTTCTACCCGCCTTGGCCTCCCAAAGGGCTGGGATTACAGGCGTGAGCCACTGCACCCAGCCTATTTTTATATTTGACATTAGAAAACTATTATAACTTCAGTTAGTTATAAGTCATTATAAAAAATACTTAACCTCTTTGAGAGGACAGGACAGAAAGATCCTGACACATTATCAAAGCTTACGGTAGGATAAATGTGCCGTCACCAATGAATGGGAAGACAGCAGGCCCTACGGAAAATGGTGTGACAAATAGTTACCTCTATCAGAAAAGTACAGATGAGCCTATCCTAAGAGAAGTAAAAGAAAGGAAGGGATGAAGGGAGGAGACAGAGAGAGAAAGAAAGAACACACTGCAGAAGGTTTCAATGTTGTAACACCCAGCTCAGCAGGACAAGATAAAACAAGAGCTCTCAGTCATGGTCTAAGCTGGCACTGCTTTTTTAGAGGTTCATTTTGCAATTAACATTAAGAGTCTCAAAAACACTCATCGCCTTTGACTTAGCCATTTCACCTCCAATAATCTAGCATATTAAAACACTCAAAGATCGGATACATTTAGGTCAATAATTCTTTACCCACCAACTACACAATCCAAAAAAGTTCAAAAACTCCTTTGGCAGCAAAAGCTGTCTTCAATAAATGTGATACTGTTTATAGTTTCTATTTATATCACTCAGCTGGCCTTCAAAGCCATACATACTTTTAATTTTAATTTAAGTGACCCCAGTCTACTTCGTGGGGCTTATTTACCAACGCAGCCTCCCACAGGTGCGGCAAACCTGACACACAAAGCCGCTGCTGTTCCCCAAACACGGCCCACATGCCCCACAGCAGCACTTTGGTGATGCTCTTTCTGCTTCCTGACACATCCTCCTTCTCCCACATCTAAGGCCTGGCACAGACCCCATCTTTTTTCATAAAGCCTCAGCCATACCTGCCTCAAAATTTCTGACCGCCATGATTCCCAGGCACATTTTGGTGCTGCTGGGTGTACACACCACAACCTGAAATGCGGTTCTGCATCTCCTTTGCACCTGGCTGAGGTCTCAGAGAGCAGAGGCTCAGTATTTCACGGCTCCCTCAATTTCTAAACACAGTGCTGTATACTGAGTGGCACCTCCCGGTGACTACTTTGTACCCTAAACGTTAAACAGAGAGATGAGTGAAACCGTATCAGGATTAATACACAGAAATACATTCCTGAATTCCATCACTTAATAGAAGTGGCCATTTGAATGCTAGCAGGTAGGAAGAAAAGAGGAGGACAAAGAAACCCCAAAAGTTGGCATCATAACTACTGCCACACAAAAAGAGAATAAAGCAGAGTGGCAAGGTAAAGACCAGGGAAACACAGGCCACTGCAGGACAGAAAAATCTTCCAAGCTTGTCAGTAATGTAAGTTTCTCATTTTCCAATAAACTAGTGTGGCATAGGCCACTGTTCAGAGTCTAGAGTCTTGTCTTCAAAATGTTTTCCAGTATCAAGGACAACAATCTACAAGAAACAAAATGGTGAGAAAAAGTCGCACACTCACAGCTCTAAAGAGCACAGGGTAAGGCTACAAAAAGGACCAAGCACCTTCTCAACCTGCAGTGTGCTCAGTGTCTGTAAATCACAAGTTAGGCGATGAAGGGCTGGTAGTTTCACGTGAATTAATAACTTTCCTTCTTGCCCCGTTATCTCCCTCACCTGACCCACCCGATAAAACATCCTCTCAAATTGCTTGCACGTGCTTGGAGAAGCTCATGGTACAGTCAGTGCACTCACACACAACTGAACGTGAGCAACACGAGGCTTACGAGACAGCAAAGACAACAGCAAAGCTGGGCCCAGCGGCCATCACCTAAAGAACTCTTCGCTCGTTACATTGGAGCGAGTGATTTCTCTGGGACCAGGAACCACAGAACCCTGAAGGACACACAGCTGCTGGCTAAGGATTCAAGGCCTGGAGTGAAAACGTAACATTTCCCTCCCAGTGCTCATGTCTGCTATAAACTGGTTTAGTTCTGCAATGAACAACTAGATTTCTAACTGATATTAATAAACTTTTTTTTTTTAAGACAGGGTCTCACTCTGTCACCAGGTTGGAGTGCAGTCATGGCTTACTGCAGCCTCAACCTCCCGGGCTCAAGCAATCCTCTTGCCTCAGCCTCCCAAGTAGCTGGGACTACAGACAGATGCCACCATGCCCAGCTAATTAAAAAAGTTTTATTTGTAGGGATGAGGTCTCACTATGTTGCCCAGGCTGGTCTTAAACTCCTGGGATCAAGCAATCCTCCTACCTTGGTCTTCCAAACTGCTGAGATCACAGGCGGTAGCCACTGCACCAGGCCATTAACACTTATATATGTAAAATACATCCAGAATATCAACCACTACAAAACAAAAATACTCCATCTTGATGTAACTTACCATACTATGGATTTGTTTTAAAAATGAGGTAAAAGTAATTAAGAAAATGAAAGCACAAAAGTCGTCTATCAAAATTACAAAAACTCAAAACTGAGTGAACAAAACTTCAGAAAGAATGAAAACAATTGGAATATAACTTCAGGAAAAAAATGTAAAATAGAAACAACAAAAGAACAATTTTTGCCCTCTAAAAAACAGAGGTTAAAGTCAGAATTTTTTTTTTTTTTTTTTTTTTGTCTCCAGCCTGGAGTGCAGTGGCATGATCTCGGTCGGCTCACTGCAACCTCCGCCTCCCAGGTTCAAGCGATTCTCCTGCCTCAGCCTCTCGAGTAGCTGGGATTACATGCGCCCGCCAGCATGCCCAGCTAATTTTTGTGTTTTTAGTAGAGACGGGGTTTCACCTTGGCCAGGCTGGCCTCGAACTCCTGACCCCAGGTGATCCACCCGCCTCGGCCTCCCAAAGTGCTGGGATTACAGGCACGAGCCACCGTGCCCAGCCAGGAAAATATTTAAAAACAAATTAAGCAAAGATTATAAAAGTTTTCGGAGTAACACAGTTCCTGAAACAATCACGATCCACATCAAGTTTGAGCCAAGTTGACATCCCCACATCAGGCCCCTTCCTGGTGTTCGTGGAATCTGCAACACAGACAGAGGTGCAAGGGTCACTGGGGAGGCACAGAGGCGGAGGGAGGAGGGGCTCCCTGGGGTCGTGCAGGTCTCAGAGAGCTCCTCGGGCCCTGGAAGGTGACCTTGGGCCCCTGAGCTCCCCACAGTCAGGTCTACTCAGATGCCAAGGCACTGAGGCCTGTGTGCTGCTGTCTGCTGAGGGGTTATCTGTCCACAGACAGTGTCTGTAAGTGTCATGGAGGAAGAACTGAACCTGGGCGCTCACACAGGCACCTTCAGGGGGCTGGTTCCCTGGAGAGTAAAACAGACACAGAGAAACGGGGGAATTTTGAGGATTCCAGGATCAACAGGCAGAGCCCTGGGCCCTAAGGGGAGCAGGAGGTCTCATGACACAGGGTGGGGGTGGTGACCCTGCCTTGCCACCCAGATCCTCTGTGCCATCCAGACAGAAGAGCTGCACATTGAATATGCACAGCTGCCTGGAGCACGTCATTGTTATTGCCTAGTAAGACCTGGTCTTTCTAACATCCCCACCAGACCTGTCTTTGTATTGTAATTTTTAAAATTACGCTTTGGTAAGACAAATTTCTCACTTTAGTATATTCTATAATAATAGGGTTACAGAAGACATACATATGAAAGAGTGAAAAACAGTGTATAGATACACACAAACACACGTTTATATGTGTGCCTGATTTCAAGATTGGAAAATAGATTTAAAAAACAGAGGCTCCCTGAATCATGCCCTCAACCCCTCCCAAGTGAGCATGGCCCTGAAATGTCTTCAGGGGTTTGTTTTGTTGGCATTTGGCACAGATACAGAATCACTGACACCCAAGCCAGTGCTCTCTACATACAGAAGCCTCCAACCTCATCTTGAAAAATGGGGCCATGAGGTCACCCCAGGTCCCCAGGCCCCCACAGAGGCTGAAGGACCCCTAGGACTGGGCACATTTCAGTGCTTCTTGGATCCTGCCGTGTCCCCTGCTCGATGCCAGGACCTACTGAGTGCCCGCTGGCCTCAATACTGGGCAATACTGGGCCGCGTGGGCTGCGTGCTCGTGTGACAAGGAGACTGGGGGTACCTCCATCCTTCTCACACCTTTCCCAGGAGGCCTGAACTGGGGGCGATTCATGGTCAACCCTAGTCCTCCTCAGGATGAACTAGTGATACTCCCTGTTGGCCTCAAGGGGCTGGGGGGACAGAGCTGGGTCCCCCCAAATGAGATGCTGGTGAGTTGAAGTGTCACTGCAGCAAATAACACAGTGCACAGCCCCTGGTATCCTGCACACGGTGGCCCGACCAGCACCTCAGTGTCTCCCTCACTAAGCAGCCTGTGGAGGGCTCAGCCCAGCAGGCTCAGGGGCTGCTCTGGAGTGGGTGTCTGTTTCCTGGAGGATGGTCTCAGGGCATCCTTCACTTACCTTCAGAGGTCTCTAAAATATATTAAAAATGTCCCAACGGCTCAGGACATTCCGCCAGGTTTTCTTCCTGGGCTTCCTGGTTTTCTTGCTGGTTTTCCTGATGGGACAAGAAGAAAGTGAGCGTAGCCATGAAGAACATGGGCACGGGTCTGCTTCCCTCATTCTGCCCGCCGCACACTCACACTTCCTCTTCCACTTTTGTCTTTTCTGTTGCTTCTTCTGCAGGTGCAGAGGAGGAACTTGCTGACATCTGTGAGAAGGAGAACAGTTGTGTATGTCCAGAGACGCCAGTGCAGGAAAAGTCCTATCTGGGCAGGGGGTGCCCAGAGCAGACCCAGATGTCACTGGGAGTCCCTCCAGCATGGTGGGGTCCAGCTCATCCAACCCCAGCCCAGCCCCTCCCTGGACCCTGAAGGGTTGTTCACCAAGATTCAAAGCTGCAGCCTGGGGGCCAGTAAACAGGGCAACGCCAAGGTAGTGGGCAGGAGGGTTGGGGAGGGGTTTTATCGACACTGAAGACCCAAGGACGTCAACTGTGGGATAAGACCAGGTCCTTCAGAACAATCACAAGACAGGAAAGAGGAAAAGGACCAGAGCTAAGAAAGGAGCTCATGAGTCAGAAAGAGGATAAAAGAGAGAGAGCATATGAGAGGAGATCAGTTACCTGCTGGCGGCTGCCTGTCATGGTGGAGTCTTCCAGTTCTGGGAAGCAAGCATCAGAGTGTCCGGAGGAGCAGCGGTGATGGGGCGGCCATAAGAAGGAAAGGGGAGAGTTATTGTCGAGAGAACCCCTCAGACTCTGCTGTCCCCGGGCTGTGGAGCCAATCCCAGAGCCTCTGATGTGCCCATTTCTGGAGACTTCTCCACAGCCCGTATCATTTCCTCTGTGCTACGAGGGAGGGACCTCCGACTTCCCACACACTTTCCCAGCCCTCACATTCCATAACAGCCAAGGGAGGGGAAGCCGTGTCATTCTGTTCCTCCAAGAGGCGGCCGCCCTCTTCACAATGTCGTGCATGACGTGGAATTCCCTCCCTCCTCCTCCTGTAGGGCCTGCTTCTGTTCCTTCATGAATCCCATTTCCTTCCTCCTTGTGGACCTCCACCAGTCCTACTGGTCTCCAATAGAAGAACATCGGAAAGAAGGCCAAGGCTGCACTGCCAGCCTCCAGTCAACACACAGATCGCACCCTGGGTCGGCAGCACCTGCCCAGGCCTGGGTTGTGTTGGGGGCTGTGGGAGGCAACGATGGCCAATGCCACAGATTCAGTCAGGCCTGGGGTTGTGTTGGGGCCCGTGGGAGGCGATCATGACCGATGTCCACAGGCCTGGGGTTGTGTTGGGGGCTGTGGGAGCTGATGATGAATGACGTCACAGATACAGTGACTGTTCTGTGCCTGGAATGACCCTAGAGACTTGGAAAATATTCAGTCGTCAAACGAATCCCACCAGCTTCTGAGTATTTGGAAACAATGGAACAGAATTCAAGATAAAGCCTCTTGTCCCAGTTGCTTTAATCTGCAGGTGAGGCCAGCAGTTGTCAGCACAGAAATGAGGGTTTGCCTGAGCTGTGGGAAGACTAGGAGGGTGGGCACCTGGCAGGCCTGACACAGAACAAGCTGGGCCTGACTGGAGTGTGGGGAGCAGGACGAGGCTGTTGGGCCAGAGAGGAGGGTGTCACAAGACAAGTGACCCAAGAGGCTCTGCCCTGAGCCCAGTGGATTCCAGGGACCAGGCTATAGGGAGGGCGAGAGCCACTGCCTACAGCAACACAGCAGCCCCTCCACACATATCCCCGAGGATTCCTGCTAGCCACAGAGGGCCTTGAGCCACAGCTGGACTCGGGCCTCTCCAATGAAAGCCAATGTAGGTTTCATTCAAAGCCCACGGATTTGGGATTGGGTGAGGAGTGGAGGCCAAAAATGTGCTCAGTCAAGTGTTCCGCCCTGAGGGCTCCAGGATGCCGGGGCACACGCAGCAATCCCAGAGGAAGGACTCCCTGTGTCATCCCACCCAGGGAGCACCCTTAGAGCAGCAGCAGACGCTGAGGACAGGACGGGAAGGTGCCGTTGCAGGTCCCGAGAGTGTAGAGAAAGAGGGTGGGCTCCTTTCAGCTCCTGGCACACGGATGAAGGACTTTGTCGTCAGGATCACGTAGCACCTGTGAGGGGCTGTGTCCCCCCGACACTCAACGTTACACCTGCATACTCATCTTGTCATCTCCATTCACAACAAAACGCTGCCTCATCAAACCCAGGGCTCTGGTGCTTGCTGTGGCAAAGGCAGGAATGATCTGGTCTTTGCAAAATGTAATCTTTAAACACCAGAGCAAGAAATGATGGTGACAACACAACTCACACAAAGCTCATGAGAACAAAACTCTTACAACTTTCTCATTAAGATACATAAACCAAATCACACTTCTACACCTATTTCCTTTCATATTTAGTCACTTCACTGATCCCATCCCAGGCTCCAAAACAAGTGTCACCCAATCCCCAAGAACCCTCCCCACTGGTCAACCCTGGAGTGTCGGTCCCTACCTGACCAGTCTATTTCCCCCTGGATGGATCCAGAGGTGGTGCCCATGAGCCCAAGTACAGAGACACAAACATCGGCACTACTGCTCAGTCCACGGTGATTCTCCCTGGGCTCTGTGAACTCAGGGGCCGTTAGGAAGGCCCTGCTCACAGTTGTGAGCCTTCAGGTGAGACAGAGAACCCGAACAATCCCTTTCAACTGTTCACCGACACTGGCTCAGAGCATCTCTTACCTCCAATCTGAGAACCCGAGATTCCAGCCTTGATGCACATGCACTGAGTCAGGTGAGTGCAGTGAACAGAATCTGGGCCAGACTCACAGCAGTTGCTTCCCAGGTAATTCAGGGATAATGGAGATGCTCTCTTAAGAGCAGACATTTGGCAGCTGAGAACTTATAGTATGGCTCTTGTGAGGAGGTTATGAATTTTTCATTTATTTAAACATGAATGGGCACATATGCCATGGAGGACCACACTGGAATGCACAGGTCTCAACCCAAAGGTGAGGGAGATGTGACTCTCCCCCCTGCTGATTCCTGGCAGAGTGGTTTGCTCTGATCTGATCATTCATGGATGGGTACTTCAGGGGCACAGGAACAAGCTCCACGTCCCCTGTGATGCCACAACAAGAATAAAAACGCCTGGTCCAGCAAAGGAGGACTCATCAACAGAAAGAGAGCATCTTCTGCAAGGAGAAAAGCTGAACCGAGGCAGCCAGAGTAGAATGAGGGGAAACTTCAGTGACTTCAGGAGCCCCCCTATTCTCCTGTGACCTTGGATCAGAACCCACTCAGGTTTCCAGACTACCATGAGAAACAACAGATTGAAGGAGATGAGCAGGGAGCCTTTTCACACTGGCGCTGGATCTCAGCAAAGGGGTGGGAAGCACTGGATCATTACTGGGGCCCAAGATGGGCTGCCCAGGGCTGAGCTCTGGGATGAGAAGGAACGAGGAGGACATAGTCCTTGCCCTCCCAGTGACCAGCCACGGCCAGGATTCCTCCACACATAAGTAAAACAAAACAGAGTTTGAGACAAATAATTCCAAGACTATCTCAGAGAAACAGGCAAAGTGATGTCTCAAGGGTCACACGGGAGAGCTGCAAGGACCACCTGGACTCCGCTCCCTTTGCTGAGCTCACCTTGCACTGAAACAGGGTCCTGTCTCACCTCCCCTGCAACTACAGTGTGGGGCAGCCATCCTGCCTGAAAGCTGACACTCCCCCCAGTCACACAGGATTCCGGCCAAATCACACTTGGCTAACAGCAACTACACGAGGACCAGCTGTCAGGCCACACCCAGAAGCAGGTGAAAAGTAAGAGCTGATCTCTGTCCCAGCCAGAGAGACCAGGCCTGGGAACTACTCTGTGTCCGGCCTGACCCTGAAGTCCATCCCTGCCGATCATGTCCTCTCTGGGCCACATTGGCTATTTCGGGAACTCCTGTTCTGTGCCTCTCATTAATTTCTGGTGGTGCCACTGCCATCGACATACGGGAAATAGAGAAGACAAGAAACAACAAAGTAGCTTGTCTCTTCAGGCTCTCGGGAAGACGGGCAGACAGTGCTAACGCCAGCTATGAAGTCGGAGCTCCCGTTCTCCCTCAGCTGGAATATGAACATCCCGGCCACACCCAAGTAATGACGAAGAACTGACTTCCTGATGTTGCACCTCGGCTGCCCCCCATGGCTCTGCTGCCCTCGTGCCTTCCTTCTGATCCTCCAAATCGTGTTCCTTTTCAGGCCCAGGCCAAGGCTGTACCTGCTCTCTCTCTCACAGAGCCCACTGGGCAGCTGTCTGGGAATTCTTAGAACCTCAGTGTTGGTAACACTGATTTGTGCCTTTGATCACACACAGCAGAAGGCCCCGAATACCACACACAAAAACACTGTATTCTAAAGATAAGAGATGACTGGGGAATAGGGTTATGAGGAGATAATTTCTGAGGTTAGTTAGGGACATTTTAAAATCACAGCAGCCTCATTGTTTTAAAATGTGGGTTAAGTATGGACATCTACAGAGCAATCAAATTCAACTCACATACAATGTATTTCCACCAAACGCGGGCTCCCGAAAGAAACTCAATCCAGAACTGGGTTAATTTTATTTTCATATGACCTTAAGCCAACCACCTTGACTTGTTTTCTGCAAAGGCCTTCAGGAGCAAACAAAAACCTTTGTCCACGGTGGGTTCAATGGGGACATCCTGGAGCCTCTGCTGTACCACAGTCACATTTGTCTTTCCCCACCTCGTAATGCATGAGTCACCCTCCATCCTCCTAGGAAGGCAAGTGCTCGCCCTGCCACTCACAGCCTAGGGCAAGCCCTTTGCTTACCTTTTCATGTTGCTGTGTTTCCTGAGCACAGAACACGGAAACCAGACTAGGCTGAGGGATAGAGGCTGGGCCTCTACATGATCTTGACATTATGTATTTTGGACACTTGGAGTCACACCACATGAATTCAAAAAGACACGCAGCAAATCAATGCGCACAACCTCACCCCATCCTCAGAGAACGCAGTTGCTCCCAGGGACTCCAGAATGTGACCATCATGCTCTATCTGCAACAACCATCCCTCCCTCCCATTACAGCCTAGGTCCTCATCCATGAGAGGAAGCTCCACTCAGGCTGCCTGTCCACAGGAAGGCCAGCGAGACCGTGGCACATTCCTCATCATCTGGGGGACTCATCAGGATGGGAGGGCTTCCGCAATACGTACCCTTTTCTGTAACTCCTGAGGATCTCTGTAATGACAGAAAGTAAATTGCTATGAGCATCAGAACCTGCTGTGTCCTGTGTGCACAGGACTTTTCTTCACTTAGTGACATTAGAAAACAAGATGGAAACCGGTGTTCAGAGGAACCCAAAAGAAGAACAGAGCAAATCGAATCACACTAAAGACACATTTTTCTCAGAGGACGTTTCCTCTCAAGTCATGTTGGTTGGCCAGTAAGTGATTTGTTCGAAAGAGAACCAAGTTGGTAAAGGCACAAGCTCACTGCCCCACAATGTGTGGTGGATGCTGTCACTTTCTCCCTCTGTATTAAGTCAACCCTCAGTGGGGCACAGACTCTCACTTAAAGCTCCTCCCAAGGACATTGTGTAACTAATCTAAGATATATGTTGTCACATTCTCGTATCTTAATTTCACCCAAATAAATAAAGCTAAGAAAGCAGCAGTTTTTCTCAGACAAATCCAGGTGGCCTGACCTCCACATCCTCTGGGTCCTCCTCGTCTTCGCTGTCACTGGACCACGCCTGCAGATGTCCCGGCGGAACTAGGAGGACACACAGTGACCGTCAGCACCTTGGTGCTGTTGCTCACGAACAATTCAGAAACATTCTTGAGGTGGGTGGGGGAGGAGGACAGCAGAGCAGGACAGACGCAGGGAAGAAAGGGAATCAGGGCCTTTGGCTTTCTAGCTCCAGGCCACCTCGTAAACGTGAAATTGCCAACCTCAAACAGCGCACACCACATAGTGCAGGCTGTGTGTCCCTGGCAGCCTCTTAGGGCTCCTCCTTCCTAATCTGACCTGAGCTCAAGTGCCCTCTTATTGATCCCTGCCAAAGTCATTTCCTCCTCAGAACGCACATGTGCTGCTGCTCTGTATATCACCCCTTCTAGAAGGTTTTGTACTGAATAAGAAGCAACCTTTCTTGAAAGAGATTTAATTCTAGACAAAAGATTTCATTAACTAACTGTTTGTGATGAGGCAATTAAACCAAGATTTGAAAATACCCAATTATCCTACCATTTAAAGATGACCCCTACCTAGCCTGTGAGATTTGTCCTTCCACTCTTCCTTTTCAACGCAAAGTGTGTGCCCCGTGGGGTTCACTGCTGCTCATGCTCACACTGACTCCAGCACCGGGACAGCCTGTCATGGGAGCAGCGAGGGGGCCGGGGGCCGGGCACTGACCCTCTCCAGCCCAGCTATGTAGGAGATTCCAGCAGGGAAAATGGGTGCCAGGCTAACACCCAGGTTGATCCTTGAGATTTTATGGGAAGCCGTGTCTTGGGATTGGGTTCTACTGAATTTCTAAGACGTGCAGTGATTATTTCATTAAATACAATAGAATATGCCACTCATCATTGTCTGCTTTCCAACAGGAGCTGAGGAATGACCTCACTGCTGTAGACCAAAAGCCTGTGGACTCTGTGTTTTACGTTAATGATCACACTGAAGCCCACTGTACAATGTACCTGCTCAAACCAACCCTGGGTGAGCTGAGCACTGACACCACCCAGTCATGACAGTGTTTGGGATCTGAATAGGTTTTCATTCTCCCACATGCACACACAAGTGCTGGAATCACCTGGCCTAGCAAGAAATTCTACCAGAGCTTTGTGACAAATTCCGGGTAGTAGCCCATGGCATTAACTTTCCACTCATTCCCGAGGTCACATGTGCTTCTTCCATTTAAAAGATCAAGAGCTTGGGAAATTCGTCTCTGCACCATGTCCATCTGAGGACTGGGGATGGTAAATTTATCTTCAGGGACAGCTGTGGTGGAGGATGAATGGGTTGATTTATGCAAACTGTGCAGTGGTGATGGAATTGTCCTTGAACATTGATGCTTGTGTTGTGCTGTGAACATGGGAGTATGTTTTCTGGGGAAATGCACACACACTCCCAGACATCCACAATCATTCCATATACACTCGCTCCTCTGTCCCTCCAAACCCTCATGTAGCACCTCACGCTACATGATACTGCTGCTTCCTGGAATGACAGTATCATGGTTAGAGTCGTTTACTGGACTCTTAGTTTTTTGTTTTTGTGTTTTTTGACACAGAGTTTCACTCTTGTTGCCAGGATGGATTTCAATGTCACAATCTTGGCTCATTGCAACCTCTACCTCTTGGGAACCATTGATTCTCCTGCCTCAGACTCCTGAGTAGCTGGGATTATAGGCATGCACCACCACGCCCGGCTAATTTTGCATTTTTAGCAGAGACAGGGTTTCTCAATGTTAGTCAGTCTGGTCTCAACTCCCGACCTCAGGTGATCCACCTGTCTCGGCCTCTCAAAGTGCTGGGATTACAGGCATAAGCCATTGCGCCCGGCCTGACTCTTCGTATTTTTTAAAACGAACTACCCAAATGTCATTTCTAAAGGAAGCTCAAACAAGAGAGGCCCTTGAGCAAATGCAGGTGAAACAGAGCCACCTTCGCAACACTGAGGTTTCAAACCTCAACAAAGAGATGACCCCAGAATACGTACTCTTTGCCAGTGTGGTTGGGTCCACCCGCATCTAGAGAAAAAGAAAACACTATCAGGGTCAGACCATGTTGTCTCCTGGGTGCACAGGTCTTCACTTGTTGACATTAAAAAGACACATGGTAAATAGTGGTAGGGAAAATGGCCCCGATATCTAGAAGACATTCGTGGAAAGGCACAAGATTTTTCTACAAGATTTTCCATTGTTTTTGTTTGACAACTCCTAATACTTCTCCGGAAGGAGGCATTTCTCTTGAGGAAAATGCCTGCTGACATACAGTGTGTAAATGTGAATGCCATCTCAAAGCATGTTTCAGTTGATAATGAACTCTGACATTTGCCACCAAGATACTCCTTAAGTCACCTATAATGTACATGGTAAGATGTATACATCTTAGTTCCATTAAAACAGAGAGAAACCGAGAGAAATAAAATTTCCATTTCAGAGGATAAAAGAAGACTTTACCATGTGAACCCCTGAGGCTTCCTCCGAGGATGTCTGCTCTGGCACATGCTCCTGCAGATCGTCCAGGTCACCTGCGAAACAGAGTCACTATAGGCACATGAGCTCCACTGACTGAATCCCTCAGGTGGTCTTGGAGCTGTGGACCCGGGGCTGGCGTGTGTGGAAAGGTGTGTCCACAGCACAGACTCAGCCTCTGCCGGTCCATCCTCCATGGTGGTGAGGGAAGGCAAATGGTGAAGGACGGCATCAGGAAGGCCACAGAAGACAGGGCCTTGGTCCTCTAGCTAAGGCAACCTCTTGCACATGAAATAACCCATTTCAAACAGGGCCCACCACACAGTGTTTCCCTGCAGCATCCAGGGCTCCTCCTTCCTAATCCGACCTGAGCTAACTTGTCCTGCCTTCTCGATCCCCTCGAGGTCATTTCCTCCCCAGGATCCACATGTCCTGCTGTGTGTGTTTTGTCCCTCCTAGAAGTTTTTTCGTTGTTTTTCTTTTTATGAGGAGTTTTGCTCTTCTTTCCCAGGCTGGAGTGCAATGCCATGATCTCGACTCACCACAACCTCAGCCTCCCAGGTTCAAGCGATTCTCCAGCCTCAGCCTCTTGAGTCACTGGGATTACAGACATGCATCACCAAGCCAGGCTAATTTTGTATTTTTAGTAGAGACGGGTTTTCTCCATGTTGGTCACTCTGGTTTCAAACTCCCGACCTCAGGTGACCCACCCGTCTGGGCCTCCCACCATGCTGGGATTACAGGTGTCAGACACCGTGGCCGGACAGAACATTTTGTACTAGATAAAAAGCAACCTTTCTTCAAAGAGGAGACTCAGTTCTAGCTAAAATATTCTCTATATTCACTAACCTTTTGTTTTAAAGAAGACCAAACCAAGATTTGAAAATACTCAATTATCCTACCATTTACAGACGACTCCTACTTGGCATGTGATGTTTGTCCTTCGGCTCTTCCTTTTAACACAATGTGTGTGTGTGCCGTGGGGCCTGCTGCTGCTCATGCTCACACTGGCTCCAGCCCTAGGACAGCCCACCCTGGGGGGCAGCAGGTGGGGGCGCTGACCCTCTCTAACCCAGCTCTGTAGAAGATTCCAGCGAGAAGATGAGTACCAGGATAATACCCAAGTTGTTCCTTCCGTTCTTATTTGCTGCTGTGTCTTGGGTGTGTGTGCTGAACTGCAGCACGTGTAAGGATTGTGGTGATTATCTCATTAAATACAATGTAACATGTCTGATCATTTTCTGCTTTTCACCAGGAGATGAGAAAATTAACACAGCACTGCAGCCAAAAGCCTGACCTCTCAATGTCTGTTTGCCATTTGTGACCACACCAAAGTCCACTGTAAAATGTACTTATCCCTACACTGAGTTATGTGACCATTGACACAATCCTACATGAGAGACAGTATTTGGGATTCTGAAGGCTATCCAGATTTCATGTGCACACCTAGGTGCTCAAGCTCTCTGCCATAATGACAAATTATACCAGAACCACGTGATTACTGCCGAGTAGTAGCCCATGGCATCACCTTCCACCCACTCCTGAGTGCACCTCTGCCTCCTCCACTGAGGAGATAAAGAGCTTGGCAAATTCATCTCTGCACTATCTCCACCTGAGTGCTGGGGATCTCCAACTGCCCTTCAGCTACAGCCGTGGTGGAGGACCAATGGGCTGATTGGCGCACGGTGTGCAGTGGTGATGGGATTTTTACTTACCACACTCATCTTTGTGTTGAGCTGTGCACATGGAAACATGCTTTCTGGAGAAATGTACACATCCTCCCAAAGACACTCACGATCATTCTACACAGACTCCTTACACCCCCACCCTGATGCACCTCATTCGATGTCATAAAAACGACACTGCAGCTAACAGGGCACTACGTAGGATGATCACCCCGCTTCAGTACACTCAGTAATTTCTACCCTAACCTCATTTCCAATAGAAAGTTCCAAGGAGAATGGTTCTCCCGATAATACCAGGCAAGAATGTGTCACCTTTCTTAATACTAAGAATTTTCCTTACCACATAGGTGATCCCAGAATACGTACCATTTGTCTCTGTGAATGTCTCCGCCTGAGGTTAGAGAAAGGAAAACACTGTGAGGGTAAGATCGTGCTGTCCTTGACACAGGTCTTTTCTTAACTTAGTGCTATTAGAAAGCCAGATGGGAAATTCTGGTGGAGGCAACGGCCACAAAAATAAAGCCTAGAAAACACTTGTACAAAGTCACCAGGATTTTGTGCAAGATTTTAAAGTTAATTTTGGTGGTAAGTTCAGTATTTTCAAGAAGGTTTTTTTCCCCTGATGAAAGTGCTTGCTGACATAGTTTGTAACTGAAGCTGTCATCCAAGAATGTCATCTTGAATTAGTTATTAGTTGGTAAACAATTCTCATTTTACATTTTCGCACCAAGAAATTCTCTAAGGCATCTACAATGTACATGTTAGTAAGGTTTTCCTATCTTTATTCAAGTGAAATTGAAAGAAACCTAGGAAAATGAAATTCCCCTTTCAGACAAAGAAAGAAGAACTTACGTTGATAACAGAGAGGACCCTCTCAACAGGTGCCTCACATGGATGTTCTGCTGCGAGGTCCTCTTGAGGATCTAGGAGACATAGGGTAAGTGTCACCACATGGATTCTGCTGAGAAAATCTCTCGGGTTGTATTGCGTGGTGTGGACATGAGGCTGGCATGTGTGAAGAAGGTAGGTTACCACAGACGGAGCTGTAGGCCCATCCTCCTTGGTGGTGAAGGCAGGCAAATGAGACCATGAGGAAAGTCATGGGAAACAGAGCCTTGGTCCTCTAGCTAAGGCAAGTTCAGCAATGAGACACAGCTGATCTCAAAGAGGGCACAGGACACGGGGCAGGCGACCCTCCCTACAGCGTGTCAGGTTCCTCCTTCCTAATCTGACCTGAGCTAACTTGCCCTCCCTTCGTGATCCCTTCTGAGGTCATTTCCCCCACAGCATCCACAGGTGCTGCTGATCATCATCCTCCAACCCGAAACATTTTGTGCTGCATAAAAAGCCACCTTTCTTCAAAAAAAATTTAATTCTAGTCAAAAGAGTTATGACTTCTCTGAACCTTTGATTCAAAGAGAATTAAACCAACATTTTAAAATAGTCAACTATCCTATCATTGAAAGATGACACACACTTAGCATATTTGCCCTTCGACTCTTCCTTTTCAACACAATGTATGTGTCTGTGAAATCAGTTCCTGCTCACGCTCACGCTGGCTCCAACACCAGGACAACCCATCATGGGGGGCAGGAGGTGGGGACGCTAACACTCTCCAAACTAGCTATGCAGGAAATTCCACCGGGGGAGATGGACGTCACAATAACACCCTAGTTCTTCCTTGAGTTCCTATTCTGCACTGAGTCTTGGTTGTGTGGGCTGAATTAGGGCATATGTGACACTTGTGGCAATCATGTTATTAAATATAATAGAATGTGTCCCTGATTGTCCTCCACTTTTTTTTTTTTTTTTTTTTTGAGATAAAATCTCACTCTGTTGCCCAGGCTAGAGTGCAGTGGCACGATCTAGGGTCACTGCAACCTCCGTCTCCCAGGTTCAAGTGATTCTCCTGCCTCAGCCTCCTGGGTAGCTGGGATTACTGGCACCTGCCACCACACTCAGTTAATTTTTGTGTTTTTAGTAGAGACAGTGTTAGCCAGGCTCGTCTCAAACCCCTGACCTCAAGTGATTCACCCGCCTTGGCCTCCCAAAGTGCTGGATTACAGGTGTGAGCCACCACACCCAGCCTGTTCTCTGCTTTTAAACAGGATCTGAGGAATAACACGACCACTAAACGAAAAGCCTGTGACCTCGCCGTGTGTGTTTCACATTTCTGACCACACCAAAGTCCACTCTAAAACATCCCAACTCTAATCCCGGGTTATGCAACCATTAAGACCATCCTATGAGGACAGACAGTGCTTAGAATGTCTATACGCTAGCAAACTTCCACATGCACACCTAGGTGCTCAAAGTCTGCCAGACTGATGAGTTATACCAGGGCTGTGAGATCAATACAGGACAGTAGCCCATAGAATCAACCTTCCACCCACTCCTGATTTCCCATTTCCCTCATCTACAGAGAAAGCCAGACGTTGAGAAATTCATCCCTGCCCAACCAGTATCTGATGACTGGGGATATTAAACTTAACTTCAGACAACTGTGGTGGAGAATGAATGGGCTGATTTATGTAAAGTGTGCAGGGTGATGGAATAGTTTAAAAAAAAACAAATTAATCCTTGTGTTGTGCTTTGATCATGCACAAAAAATCCCAAAGACACAATCACCACCCACAGACTCTCTCCGCCACACCTCCCAAACCTTGTGCACACCACCCTCTTTCATGTACGGGACACCACTTCCTGCACAGACTACAGAAAGATGGTCACAATTCTGTACCGAAGTCTTGCTGTTTTTTATACCAAACTGCCTAAAACCTCATTTCTGTTAGGAAGCTCCAGAGAAATTCTCCACCAAATGCATGGTAAAAAGTGCCACCTTTCTGAAAAAATAAGGTATTTCCTTGGCAAAAAAGCACATCCTGGGGCGTGGGGGCCAAGGGGAAGGAGAGCATTAGTATAAATACGTAATGCATGCTGAGCAGTAAACCTAGATGATGTGTTGATAGGTGCCGCAAACCACCATGACACATTTATTCTTATATAACAAACTTGCCGTTCTACACATGCATCCCAGACTTCCAAGTAAAATAAAAACAATTTTTAAAAAAGCTATCCCAGAATACATACCTTCTGTCTCTACGTCAATGCTCTTCTGCAATTAGAGAAAAGAAAAACATTACAAGAGTCAGACCACACTGTGTCCTGTGTGCACAGGTCTCTACTGCACTTGTTGACATTAGAAAACCCAATGGAAATAGTGAAAACAGTCAACACAACGTCCCCAAATAAAGCCTAGAGGACACGTGCAAAGGCACAAGATTTTTGTGCCCGATTTTCAAGTTTATTTTCACTGCATGTTCACCATTCTTTTCAAGAAGAAAGGACTTCTATGGAAAATGCTTACTGCCATAGAGTTTTTAGGTGAACCTGCCACCTATAAATGTTATCTCGAATTCATTCTTCTGGGTAATAAAGTCTCATTTTCAGCTGCCCACAAAGAAATTCCGTAAGTCATCCATAAGGTACATGGAAAGATTATCATATCTTACCTCAATTTATATGGAAACCAAGAGAAACAAAATTCCCACCTCAGATAAACAAAAAAGACTTTACCTCAAAAGAGCCTAGTAACATCTCAGATAGTATCTTGAGTGGATGCTCACACAACAAGTCTTCGTCGCGCTCTAGGAAACACGGAGTCATTGTCAGCATGTTGGGTGCACTGAAGGAACCCGTCAGGGAGACTCGGGTGCTAAAAACACGGGGCTGGCACATGTAGACAAGGGGGGTTAACTGCAAAAACGGAACTCTTGCCAGAACATCCTCCTTGGTGATGAAGAAAGGTCAGTGAGACCATCAGGAAAGCCATGAAAGACAGAGCCTTGGCAGCACAGACACGCACTGCCGATGCCGTGGCAGTGTCTCATCCTTCCGCTACGCATTTAGAGGCCTGGGAAATTTCCACTTTCCTGTTGAAATGTGACAATGTCATTTGTCTTTCCTGGGTCTACATATGCTTCTCCTTCACTTTCCATCCCTTTAACTGAACTTGAGACATTATTGTGGCAAAACATATACAAAATTTATTATTGTAATCATACCGTGCCCACTTCAGGAAAAGACATGAGCAGAACCGCAGGAGCAGAGAAGAGAAAACCTCACTGTTTGAGGAGCCCACACTCTTCTCCCCTGACCCTGGATTAGAACCCACGCAGGCTCCTGGGTAAGTGTGGGAACCCAGAGACTACAGAAAAAGAGCAGAAAGCCTTTACAACATGTGCTAGATTTCAGAACAGGAATGCTGGCTTCAGAACATCACTGGGGCCCAAGATGGGCTGCCCAGGACTGAGCTCTGAGATGAGAAGGAATGAGGAGGACACAGTCCCTGCCCTCCCGTAACCTGCCATGGCCAGGATTCCTCCACCTATGAGTAGGAGACAACAGACTTTTGGACTGATGATTGCAAGGCTGTCTCAGAGATACAGAGAAATTCATGTCTTATAGGTCACACATGAAAGGTGCAAGGACCACCTAACGCCAGGGCAGCCCCTCTCCCTTTGTTGGGCTCTGCCTGCCTTAGAGCAGGGTCTCCTCACCTCCTCTGACACCAGCACTGGGCAGCTGCTCAGCCTGGGAGCTGAGGCTTCCCTCCAGTAAAACGGAACTCTGGGCCAGGCCACTCTTGGCCAATAATAGCTACACAAGGACCAGCTGTCCAGAGACTCCCAGAAGCTGTTCTTTGTCCCAGCCACAGGGAGATCAAGCATGCCTACTACTCTGTGTCTGACCTGACCCTCAATCCGTCCCTGCTGATCATGTCCTCTCTGGGCTAAGCTGAACATTACAGGAACTCACTCCTGTTCTCTGTCTCTCACTAATTTCCAGTGGTGCCACTGCCCTCAACACACAGGAAGATGGAGAAGACTAGAAACAAGAAAGTAGCTCCTCTGTCCAGGCTCTTAGGAAGACGGCCAATGTTCAGGCCAGCCATGAAGTCAGAGCTCAACTCCTCCTTCCGATGAGACTTGAACATTCCTCCCCCGCCCAGGTGATGATGTACAACGGACTCTCCTGATGTTGCACCTCGGCGTCCCCCATGGCTTTGCTGCCCTCATACCTTCCTTCTGCTCCTCCAAATCATGTTCCTCTGCAGACCCAGGCCAAGGCTGTAGCCTGCTCTCTCCCTCATAGAGCCCAGTGGGCAGCTGCCTGTGAATTCCTAGGACCTCAATGTTGGTAACACGGATTTCTACCTTTAATCACTCAGCAGGAAGCCCCCGAGTACCACACAGAAACTGTATTCTAGAGATTAAACATGACTAGGAGAATTGGGTTATGAAGAGATAGTTTCTGAGGTTAGCGAGGGACATTTTAAAATCACACCAGCCTGATTGTTTTAAAATGTGGGGTATGTATTGACACCTACACAGCAATCAAATTCAATACATACACCTAAGTTTCCACCACATGCATACTCCAAGAAAAAACGCAAGCTGTACTTGGTTCAGGTTCTATTCCTATTGACCGAAACCAAATGCATTCACTTGTTTTGCAAAAGCCTTCAGAAACAAGCAGCCAACCAACCTTTGTCCACGGTGGGTTCAATGGGGACATCCTGGAGCCTCTGCTGTACCACAGTCACATTTGTCTTTCCCCACCTCGTAATGCATGAGTCACCCTCCATCCTCCTAGGAAGGCAAGTGCTCGCCCTGCCACTCACACCCTAGGGCAAGCCCTTTGGTTACCTTTTCATGTTGCTGTGTTTCCTGAGCACAGAACACGGAAACCAGACTAGGCTGAGGGATAGAGGCTGGGCCTCTACATGATCTTGACATTACAAATTTTGGACACTCACCACGTGAATTCAAAAAGACACGCAGCAAATCAATTCGCACAACCTCACCCCATGCTCAGAGAACGCAGTTGCTCCCAGGGACTCCAGAATGTGACCATCATGCTCTATCTCCAACAACCATCCCTCCCTCCCATTACAGCCTAGGTCCTCATCCATGAGAGGAAGCTCCACTCAGGCTGCCTGTCCACAGGAAGGCCAGCGAGACCGTGGCACATTCCTCATCATCTGGGGGACTCATCAGGATGGGAGGGCTTCCGCAATACGTACCCTTTTCTGTAACTCCTGAGGATCTCTGTAATGACAGAAAGTAAATTGCTATGAGCATCAGACCCTGCTGTGTCCTGTGTGCACAGGACTTTTCTTCACTTAGTGACATTAGAAAACAAGATGGAAACCGGTGTTCAGAGGAACCCAAAAGAAGAACAGAGCAAATCGAATCACACTAAAGACACATTTTTCTCAGAGGACGTTTCCTCTCAAGTCCATGTTGGTTGGCCAGTAAGTGATTCTGTTCGAAAGAGAACCAAGTTGGTAAAGGCACAAGCTCACTGCCCCACAATGTGTGGTGGATGCTGTCACTTTCTCCCTCTGTATTAAGTCAACCCTCAGTGGGGAACAGACTCTCACTTAAAGCTCCTCCCAAGGACATTGTGTAACTAATCTAAGATATATGTTGTCACATTCTCGTATCTTAATTTCACCCAAATAATATAAAGCTAAGAAAGCAGCAGTTTTTCTCAGACAAATCCAGGTGGCCTGACCTCCACATCCTCTGGGTCCTCCTCGTCTTCGCTGTCACTGGACCACGCCTGCAGATGTCCCGGCGGAACTAGGAGGACACACAGTGACCGTCAGCACCTTGGTGCTGTTGCTCACGAACAATTCAGAAACATTGCTTGAGGTGGGTGGGGGAGGAGGACAGCAGAGCAGGACAGACGCAGGGAAGAAAGGGAATCAGGGCCTTTGGCTTTCTAGCTCCAGGCCACCTCGTAAACGTGAAATTGCCAACCTCAAACAGCGCACACCACATAGTGCAGGCTGTGTGTCCCTGGCAGCCTCTTAGGGCTCCTCCTTCCTAATCTGACCTGAGCTCAAGTGCCCTCTTATTGATCCCTGCCAAAGTCATTTCCTCCTCAGAACGCACATGTGCTGCTGCTCTGTATATCACCCCTTCTAGAAGGTTTTGTACTGAATAAGAAGCAACCTTTCTTGAAAGAGATTTAATTCTAGACAAAAGATTTCATTAACTAACTGTTTGTGATGAGGCAATTAAACCGAGATTTGAAAATACCCAATTATCCTACCATTTAAAGATGACCCCTACCTAGCCTGTGAGATTTGTCCTTCCACTCTTCCTTTTCAACGCAAAGTGTGTGCCCCGTGGGGTTCACTGCTGCTCATGCTCACACTGACTCCAGCACCGGGACAGCCTGTCATGGGAGCAGCGAGGGGGCCGGGGGCCGGGCACTGACCCTCTCCAGCCCAGCTATGTAGGAGATTCCAGCAGGGAAAATGGGTGCCAGGCTAACACCCAGGTTGATCCTTGAGATTTTATGGGAAGCCGTGTCTTGGGATTGGGTTCTACTGAATTTCTAAGACGTGCAGTGATAATTTCATTAAATACAATAGAATATGCCACTCATCATTGTCTGCTTTCCAACAGGAGCTGAGGAATGACCTCACTGCTGTAGACCAAAAGCCTGTGGACTCTGTGTTTTACGTTAATGATCACACTGAAGCCCACTGTACAATGTACCTGCTCACACCAACCCTGGGTGAGCTGAGCACTGACACCACCCAGTCATGACACTGTTTGGGATCTGAATAGGTTTTCATTCTCCCACATGCACACAGAAGTGCTGGAACAACCTGGCCTAGCAAGAAATTCTACCAGGGCTTTGTGACAAATTCCGGGTAGTAGCCCATGGCATTAACTTTCCACTCATTCCCGAGGTCACATGTGCTTCTTCCATTTAAAAGATCAAGAGCTTGGGAAATTCGTCTCTGCACCATGTCCATCTGAGGACTGGGGATGGTAAATTTATCTTCAGGGACAGCTGTGGTGGAGGATGAATGGGTTGATTTATGCAAACTGTGCAGTGGTGATGGAATTGTCCTTGAACATTGATGCTTGTGTTGTGCTGTGAACATGGGAGTATGTTTTCTGGGGAAATGCACACACACTCCCAGACATCCACAATCATTCCATATACACTCGCTCCTCTGTCCCTCCAAACCCTGATGTAGCACCTCACGCTACATGACACTGCTGCTTCCTGGGATGACAGTATCATGGTTAGAGTCGTTTACTGGACTCTTAGTTTTTGGTCCTTTTTTTTTTTTTTTTTTTTTTTTTGAGACAGATTTCACTGTTGTTCCCTAGGCTAGAGTGCAATGTCACAATCTTGCTCATTACAACTCCACCTCTTGGGCTCCACTGATTCTCCTGCCTCAGACTCCTGAGTAGCTGGGATTATAGGCATGCACCACCACGCCTGGCTAATTTTGCATTTTTAGGAGAGACAGGATTTCCCAATGTTAGTCAGTCTGGTCTCAAACTGCTGACATCAGATGATCCACCTGTCTCGGCCTCTCAAAGTGCTGGGATTACAGGCATAAGCCATTGCGCCCGGCCTGACTCTTCGTATTTTTTAAATCAAACTTCCCAAATCTCATTTCTAAAGGAAGCTCAAACAAGAGAAGCCCTTGAGCAAATGCAGGTGAAACAGCGCCACCTTCGCAACACTGAGGTTTCAAACCTCAACAAAGAGGTGACCCCAGAATACGTACTCTTTGCCAGTGTGGCTGGGTCCACCCGCATCTAGAGAAAAAGAAAACACTATGAGGGTCAGACCATGTTGTCTCCTGGGTGCACAGGTCTTCACTTGTTGACATTAAAAAGACACACGGTAAACAGTGGTTGGGAAAATGGCCCCGATATCTAGAAGACATTCGTGGAAAGGCACAAGATTTTTCTACAAGATTTTCCATTGTTTTTGACAACTCCAAATACTTCTCAAGAAGGAGGCATTTCTCTTGAGGAAAATGCCTGCTGACATACAGTGTGTAAATGTGAATGCCATCTCAAAGCATGTTTTAGTTGATAATGAACTCTGACATTTGCCACCAAGATATTCCTTAAGTCACCTATAATGTACATGGTAAGATGTATACATCTTAGTTCCATTAAAACAGAGAGAAACCGAGAGAAATAAAATTTCCATTTCAGAGGATAAAAGAAGACTTTACCATGTGAACCCCTGAGGCTTCCTCCGAGGATGTCTGCTCTGGCACATGCTCCTGCAGATCGTCCAGGTCACCTGCGAAACAGAGTCACTATAGGCACATGAGCTCCACTGACTGAATCCCTCAGGTGGTCTTGGAGCTGTGGACCCGGGGCTGGCGTGTGTGGAAAGGTGTGTTCACAGCACAGACTCAGCCTCTGCCGGTCCATCCTCCATGGTGGTGAGGGAAGGCAAATGGTGAAGGACGGCATCAGGAAGGCCACAGAAGACAGGGCCTTGGTCCTCTAGCTAAGGCAACCTCTTGCACATGAAATAACCCATCTCAAACAGGGCCCACCACACAGCGTTTCCCTGCAGCATCCAGGGCTCCTCCATCCTAATCTGACCTGAGCTAACTTGTCCTGCCTTCTCGATCCCCTCGAGGTATTTCCTCCCAGGATCCACATGTTCTGCTGTGTGTGTTTTGTCCCTCCTAGAACTTTTTTCTTTTTTGAGATGGAGTTTTGCTCTTTTCCAGGCTGAGTCAATGCACGATCTCAACTCACCACAACCTCAGCCTCCCAGGTTCAAGCGATTCTCCAGCCTCAGCCTCTTAAGTCACTGGGATTACAGACATGCATCACCACGCCAGGCTAATTTTGTATTTTTAGTAGAGACGGGTTTTCTCCATGTGAGTCAGTCTGGTTTCGAACTCCCGACCTCAGGTGACCCACCCGTCTGGGCCTCCCACCATGCTGGGATTACAGGTGTCAGACACCGTGGCCGGACAGAACATTTTGTACTAGATAAAAAGCAACCTTTCTTCAAAGAGGAGACTCAGTTCTAGCTAAAATATTCTCTATATTCACTAACCTTTTGTTTTAAAGAAGACCAAACCAAGATTTGAAAATACTCAATTATCCTACCATTTACAGACGACTCCTACTTGGCATGTGATGTTTGTCCTTCGGGTGTTCCTTTTAACACAATGTGTGTGTGTGCCGTGGGGCCTGCTGCTGCTCATGCTCACACTGGCTCCAGCCCTAGGACAGCCCACCCTGGGGGGCAGCAGGTGGGGGCGCTGACCCTCTCTAACCCAGCTCTGTAGAAGATTCCAGCGAGAAGATGAGTACCAGGATAATACCCAAGTTGTTCCTTCCGTTCTTATTTGCTGCTGTGTCTTGGGTGTGTGTGCTGAACTGCAGCACGTGTAAGGATTGTGGTGATTATCTCATTAAATACAATATAACATGTCTGATCATTTTCTGCTTTTCACCAGGAGATGAGAAAATTAACACAGCACTGCAGCCAAAAGCCTGACCTCTCAATGTCTGTTTGCCATTTGTGACCACACCAAAGTCCACTGTAAAATGTACTTATCCCTACACTGAGTTATGTGACCATTGACACAATCCTACATGAGAGACAGTATTTGGGATTTCTGAAGGCTATCCAGATTTCATGTGCACACCTAGGTGCTCAAGCTCTCTGCCATAATGACAAATTATACCAGAACCACGTGATTACTGCCGAGTAGTAGCCCATGGCATCACCTTCCACCCACTCCTGAGTGCACCTCTGCCTCCTCCACTGAGGAGATAAAGAGCTTGGCAAATTCATCTCTGCACTATCTCCACCTGAGTGCTGGGGATCTCCAACTGCCCTTCAGCTACAGCCGTGGTGGACCAATGGGCTGATTGGCGCACGGTGTGCAGTGGTGATGGGATTTTTACTTACCACACTCATCTTTGTGTTGAGCTGTGCACATGGAAACATGCTTTCTGGAGAAATGTACACATCCTCCCAAAGACACTCATGATCATTCTACACAGACTCCTTACACCCCCCACCCTGATGCACCTCATTCGATGTCATAAAAACGACACTGCAGCTAACACGCACTACGTAGGATGATCACCCCGCTTCAGTACACTCAGTAATTTCTACCCTAACCTCATTTCCAATAGAAAGTTCCAAGGAGAATGGTTCTCCCGATAATACCAGGCAAGAATGTGTCACCTTTCTTAATACTAAGAATTTTCCTTACCAAATAGGTGATCCCAGAATACGTACCATTTGTCTCTGTGAATGTCTCCGCCTGAGTTTAGAGAAAGGAAAACACTGTGAGGGTAAGATCGTGCTGTCCTTGTACACAGGTCTTTTCTTAACTTAGTGCTATTAGAAAGCCAGATGGGAAATTCTGGTGGAGGCAACGGCCACAAAAATAAAGCCTAGAAAACACTTGCACAGAGTCACCAGGTTTTTGTGCAAGATTTTAAAGTTAATTTTGGTGGTAAGTTCAGTATTTTCAAGAAGGTTTTTTTCTCCTGATGAAAGTGCTTGCCGACATAGTTTGTAACTGAAGCTGTCATCCAAAATGCCATCTTGAATTAGTTATTAGTTGGTAAAGAATTCTCATTTTACATTTTCCCACCAAGAAATTCTCTAAGGCATCTATAATGTACATGTTAGTAAGGTTTTCCTATCTTTATTCAAGTGAAATTGAAAGAAACCTAGGAAAATGAAATTCCCCTTTCAGACAAAGAAAGAAGAACTCACGTTGATAACAGAGAGGACCCTCTCAACAGGTGCCTCACTTAGATAATCTGCTGCGAGGTCCTCTTGAGGATCTAGGAGACATAGGGTAAGTGTCACCACATGGATTCTGCTGAGAAGATTCCTCGGGTTGTATTGCGTGGTGTGGACATGAGGCTGGCATGTGTGAAGAAGGTAGGTACCACAGACGGAGCTGTAGGCCCATCCTCCTTGGTGGTGAAGGCAGGCAAATGAGACCATGAGGAAAGTCATGGGAAACAGAGCCTTGGTCCTCTAGCTAAGGCAAGTTCAGCAATGAGACACAGCTGATCTCAAAGAGGGCACAGGACACGGGGCAGGCGACCCTCCCTACAGCGTGTCAGGTTCCTCCTTCCTAATCTGACCTGAGCTAACTTGCCCTCCCTTCGTGATCCCTTCTGAGGTCATTTCCCCCACAGCATCCACAGGTGTTGCTGATCATCATCCCCCAACCCGAAACATTTTGTGCTGCATAAAAAGCCACCTTTCTTCAAAAAAAAAATTAATTCTAGTCAAAAGAGTTATGACTTCTCTGAACCTTTGATTCAAAGAGAATTAAACCAACATTTTAAAATAGTCAACTATCCTATCATTGAAAGATGACACACACTTAGCATATTTGCCCTTCGACTCTTCCTTTTCAACACAATGTATGTGTCTGTGAAATCAGTTCCTGCTCACGCTCACGCTGGCTCCAACACCAGGACAACCCATCATGGGGGGCAGGAGGTGGGGACGCTAACACTCTCCAAACTAGCTATGCAGGAAATTCCACCGGGGGAGATGGACGTCAGAATAACACCCTAGTTCTTCCTTGAGTTCCTATTCTGCACTGAGTCTTGGTTGTGTGGGCTGAATTAGGGCATATGTGACACTTGTGGCAATCATGTTATTAAATATAATAGAATGTGTCCCTGATTGTCCTCCACTTTTTTTTTTTTTTTTGAGATAAAATCTCACTCTGTTGCCCAGGTTAGAGTGCAGTGGCACGATCTAGGGTCACTGCAACCTCCGTCTCCCAGGTTCAAGTGATTCTCCTGCCTCAGCCTCCTGGGTAGCTGGGATTACTGGCACCTGCCACCACACTCAGTTAATTTTTGTGTTTTTAGTAGAGACAGTGTTAGCCAGGCTCGTCTCAAATCCCTGACCTCAAGTGATTCACCCGCCTTGGCCTCCCAAAGTGCTGGATTACAGGCGTGAGCCACCACACCCAGCCTGTTCTCTGCTTTTAAACAGGATCTGAGGAATAACACGACCACTGAACGAAAAGCCTGTGACCTCGCCGTGTGTGTTTCACATTTCTGACCACACCAAAGTCCACTCTAAAACATCCCAACTCTAATTCTGGGTTATGCAACCATTAAGACCATCCTATGAGGACAGACAGTGCTTAGAATGTCTATACGCTAGCAAACTTCCACATGCACACCTAGGTGCTCAAAGTCTGCCAGACTGATGAGTTATACCAGGGCTGTGAGATCAATACAGGACAGTAGCCCATAGAATCAACCTTCCACCCACTCCTGATTTCCCATTTCCCTCCTCTACAGAGAAAGCCAGACGTTGAGAAATTCATCCCTGCCCAACCAGTATCTGATGACTGGGGATATTAAACTTAACTTCAGACAACTGTGGTGGAGAATGAATGGGCTGATTTATGTAAAGTGTGCAGGGTGATGGAATAGTCTTAAAAAAAAAACAAATTAATCCTTGTGTTGTGCTTTGATCATGCACAAAAAATCCCAAAGACACATCACCACCCACAGACTCTCTCCTCCACACCTCCCAAACCTGATGCACACCACCCTCTTTCCCGTACGGGACACCACTTCCTGCACAGACTACAGAAAGATGGTCACAATTCTGTACCGAAGTCTTGCTGTTTTTTATACCAAACTGCCTAAAACCTCATTTCTGTTAGGAAGCTCCAGAGAAATTCTCCACCAAATGCATGGTAAAAAGTGCCACTGTTCTGAAAAAATAAGGTATTTCCTTGGCAAAAAAGCACATCCTGGGGCGTGGGGGCCAAGGGCAGGGAGAGCATTAGTATAAATACGTAATGCATGCTGAGCAGTAAACCTAGATGATGTGTTGATAGGTGCCGCAAACCACCATGACACATTTATTCTTATATAACAAACTTGCCGTTCTACACATGCATCCCAGACTTCCAAGTAAAATAAAAACAATTTTTAAAAAAGCTATCCCAGAATACATACCTTCTGTCTCTACGTCAATGCTCTTCTGCAATTAGAGAAAAGAAAAACATTACAAGAGTCAGACCACACTGTGTCCTGTGTGCACAGGTCTCTACTGCACTTGTTGACATTAGAAAACCCAATGGAAATAGTGAAAACAGTCAACACGTCCCCAAATAAAGCCTAGAGGACACGTGCAAAGGCACAAGATTTTTGTGCCCGATTTTCAAGTTTATTTTCACTGCATGTTCACCATTCTTTTCAAGAAGAAAGGACTTCTATGGAAAATGCTTACTGCCATAGAGTTTTTAGGTGAACCTGCCACCTATAAATGTTATCTCGAATTCATTCTTGCTGGGTAATAAAGTCTCATTTTCACCTGCCCACAAAGAAATTCCGTAAGTCATCCATAAGGTACATGGAAAGATTATCATATCTTACCTCAATTTATATGGAAAGCAAGACAAACAAAATTCCCACCTCAGATAAACAAAAAAGACTTTACCTCAAAAGAGCCTAGTAACATCTCAGATAGTATCTTGAGTGGATGCTCACACAACAAGTCTTCGTCGCGCTCTAGGAAACACGGAGTCATTGTCAGCATGTTGGGTGCACTGAAGGAACCCGTCAGGGAGACTCGGGTGCTAAAAACACGGGGCTGGCACATGTAGACAAGGGGGGTTAACTGCAAAAACGGAACTCTTGCCAGAACATCCTCCTTGGTGATGAAGAAAGGTCAGTGAGACCATCAGGAAAGCCATGAAAGACAGAGCCTTGGCAGCACAGACACGCACTGCCGATGCCGTGGCAGTGTCTCATCCTTCCCCTACGCATTTAGAGGCCTGGGAAATTTCCACTTTCCTGTTGAAATGTGACAATGTCATTTGTCTTTCCTGGGTCTACATATGCTTCTCCTTCACTTTCCATCCCTTTTACTGAACTTGAGACATTATTGTGGCAAAACATATACAAAATTTATTATTGTAATCATTCCGTGCTCACTTCAGGAAAAGACATGAGCAGAACCGCAGGAGCAGAGAAGAGAAAACCTCACTGCTGAGGAGCCCACACTCTTCTCCCCTGGATGAGAATCCACGCAGGCTCCTGGGTAAGTGTGGGAACCCAGAGACTACAGAAAAAGAGCAGAAAGCCTTTACATCATGTGCTAGATTTCAGAACAGGAATGCTGGCATCAGAACATCACTGGGGCCCAAGATGGGCTGCCCAGAGCTGAGCTCTGAGATGAGAAGGAATGAGGAGGACACAGTCCCTGCCCTCCCGTGACCTGCCATGGCCAGGATTCCTCCACCTATGAGTAGGAGACAACAGACTTTTGGACTGATGATTGCAAGGCTGTCTCAGAGATACAGAGAAATTCATGTCTTATAGGTCACACATGAAAGGTGCAAGGACCACCTAACGCCAGGGCAGCCCCTCTCCCTTTGTTGGGCTGAGCCTGCCTTAGAGCAGGGTCTCCTCACCTCCTCTGACACCAGCACTGGGTACCTGCTCAGCCTGGGAGCTGAGGCTTCCCTCCAGTAAAACGGAACTCTGGGCCAGGCCACTCTTGGCCAATAATAGCTACACAAGGACCAGCTGTCCAGAGATTCCCAGAAGCTGTTCTTTGTCCCAGCCACAGGGAGATCAAGCATGCCTACTACTCTGTGTCTGACCTGACTCGCAATCCGTCCCTGCTGATCATGTCCTCTCTGGGCTAAGCTGAACATTACAGGAACTCACTCCTGTTCTCTGTCTCTCACTAATTTCCGGTGGTGCCATTGCCCTCAACACACAGGAAGATGGAGAAGACTAGAAACAAGAAAGTAGCTCCTCTGTCCAGGCTCTTAGGAAGACGGCCAATGTTCAGGCCAGCCATGAAGTCAGAGCTCAACTCCTCCTTCCGATGAGACTTGAACATTCCTGCCCCGCCCAGGTGATGATGTGGAACTGACTCTCCTGATGTTGCACCTCGGCGTCCCCCATGGCTTTGCTGCCCTCATACCTTCCTTCTGCTCCTCCAAATCATGTTCCTCTGCAGACCCAGGCCGAGGCTGTAGCCTGCTCTCTCCCTCATAGAGCCCAGTGGGCAGCTGCCTGTGAATTCTTAGGGCCTCAATGTTGGTAACACGGATTTCTACCTTTAATCACTCAGCAGGAAGCCCCCGAGTACCACACAGAAACTGTATTCTAGAGATTAAACATGACTAGGAGAATTGGGTTATGAAGAGATAGTTTCTGAGGTTAGCGAGGGACATTTTAAAATCACACCAGCCTGATTGTTTTAAAATGTGGGGTAAGTATTGACACCTACACAGCAATCAAATTCAATATATACACCTAAGTTTCCACCACACGCATACTCCAAGAAAAAACACAGGCTGTACTTGGTTCAGGTTCTATTCCTATTGACCGAAACCAAATGCATTCACTTGTTTTGCAAAAGCCTTCAGAAACAAGCAGCCAACCAACCTTTGTTCACAGTGGGTTCAATGGGGACATCCTGGAGGCTCTGCTGTACCACAGTCACATTTGTCTTTCCCCACCTCGTAATGCATGAGTCACCCTCCATCCTCCTAGGAAGGCAAGTGCTCGCCCTGCCACTCACACCCTAGGGCAAGCCCTTCGGTTACCTTTTCATGTTGCTGTGTTTCCTGAGCACAGAACACGGAAACCAGACTAGGCTGAGGGATAGAGGTTGGGCCTCTACATGATCTTGACATTATGTATTTTGGACACTCACCAATTGAATTCAAAAAGACACGCAGCAAATCAATTCGCACAAACTCACCCCATGCTCAGAGAACGCAGTTGCTCCCAGGGACTCCAGAATGTGACCATCATGCTCTATCTGCAACAACCATCCCTCCCTCCCATTACAGCCTAGGTCCTCATCCATGAGAGGAAGCTCCACTCAGGCTGCCTGTCCACAGGAAGGCCAGCGAGACCGTGGCACATTCCTCATCATCTGGGGGACTCATCAGGATGGGAGGGCTTCCGCAATACATACCCTTTTCTGTAACTCCTGAGGATCTCTGTAATGACAGAAAGTAAATTGCTATGAGCATCAGACCCTGCTGTGTCCTGTGTGCACAGGACTTTTCTTCACTTAGTGACATTAGAAAACAAGATGGAAACCGGTGTTCAGAGGAACCCAAAAGAAGAACAGAGCAAATCGAATCACACTAAAGACACATTTTTCTCAGAGGACGTTTCCTCTCAAGTCCATGTTGGTTGGCCAGTAAGTGATTTTGTTCGAAAGAGAACCAAGTTGGTAAAGGCACAAGAGCTCACTGCCCCACAATGTGTGGTGGATGCTGTCACTTTCTCCCTCTGTATTAAGTCAACCCTCAGTGGGGAACAGACTCTCACTTAAAGCTCCTCCCAAGGACATTGTGTAACTAATCTAAGATATATGTTGTCACATTCTCGTATCTTAATTTCACCCAAATAAAATAAAGCTAAGAAAGCAGCAGTTTTTCTCAGACAAATCCAGGTGGCCTGACCTCCACATCCTCTGGGTCCTCCTCGTCTTCGCTGTCACTGGACCACGCCTGCAGATGTCCCGGCGGAACTAGGAGGACACACAGTGACCGTCAGCACCTTGGTGCTGTTGCTCACGAACAATTCAGAAACATTGCTTGAGGTGGGTGGGGGAGGAGGACAGCAGAGCAGGACAGACGCAGGGAAGAAAGGGAATCAGGGCCTTTGGCTTTCTAGCTCCAGGCCACCTCGTAAACGTGAAATTGCCAACCTCAAACAGCGCACACCACATAGTGCAGGCTGTGTGTCCCTGGCAGCCTCTTAGGGCTCCTCCTTCCTAATCTGACCTGAGCTCAAGTGCCCTCTTATTGATCCCTGCCAAAGTCATTTCCTCCTCAGAACGCACATGTGCTGCTGCTCTGTATATCACCCCTTCTAGAAGGTTTTGTACTGAATAAGAAGCAACCTTTCTTGAAAGAGATTTAATTCTAGCCAAAAGATTTCATTAACTAACTGTTTGTGATGAGGCAATTAAACCGAGATTTGAAAATACCCAATTATCCTACCATTTAAAGATGACCCCTACCTAGCCTGTGAGATTTGTCCTTCCACTCTTCCTTTTCAACGCAAAGTGTGTGCCCCGTGGGGTTCACTGCTGCTCATGCTCACACTGACTCCAGCACCGGGACAGCCTGTCATGGGAGCAGCGAGGGGGCCGGGGGCCGGGCACTGACCCTCTCCAGCCCAGCTATGTAGGAGATTCCAGCAGGGAAAATGGGTGCCAGGCTAACACCCAGGTTGATCCTTGAGATTTTATGGGAAGCCGTGTCTTGGGATTGGGTTCTACTGAATTTCTAAGACGTGCAGTGATTATTTCATTAAATACAATAGAATATGCCAATCATCATTGTCTGCTTTCCAACAGGAGCTGAGGAATGACCTCACTGCTGTAGACCAAAAGCCTGTGGACTCTGTGTTTTACGTTAATGATCACACTGAAGCCCACTGTACAATGTACCTGCTCAAACCAACCCTGGGTGAGCTGAGCACTGACACCACCCAGTCATGACAGTGTTTGGGATCTGAATAGGTTTTCATTCTCCCACATGCACACACAAGTGCTGGAACCACCTGGCCTAGCAAGAAATTCTACCAGGGCTTTGTGACAAATTCCGGGTAGTAGCCCATGGCATTAACTTTCCATTCATTCCCGAGGTCACATGTGCTTCTTCCATTTAAAAGATCAAGAGATTGGGAAATTCGTCTCTGCACCATGTCCATCTGAGGACTGGGGATGGTAAATTTATCTTCAGGGACAGCTGTGGTGGAGGATGAATGGGTTGATTTATGCAAACTGTGCAGTGGTGATGGAATTGTCCTTGAACACTGATGCTTGTGTTGTGCTGTGAACATGGGAGTATGTTTTCTGGGGAAATGCACACACACTCCCAGACATCCACAATCATTCCATATAGACTCGCTCCTCTGTCCCTCCAAACCCTGATGTAGCACCTCATGCTACATGACACTGCTGCTTCCTGGGATGACAGTATCATGGTTAGAGTCGTTTACTGGACTCTTAGTTTTTGGTCCTTTTTTTTTTTTTTTTTTTTTTTTGAGACAGATTTCACTGTTGTTCCCTAGGCTAGAGTGCAATGTCACAATCTTAGCTCATTACAACCTCCACCTCTTGGGCTCCACTGATTCTCCTGCCTCAGACTCCTGAGTAGCTGGGATTATAGGCATGCACCACCACGCCCGGCTAATTTTGCATTTTTAGGAGAGACAGGATTTCCCAATGTTAGTCAGTCTGGTCTCAAACTGCCGACGTCAGATGATCCACCTGTCTCGGCCTCTCAAAGTGCTGGGATTACAGGCATAAGCCATTGCGCCCGGCCTGACTCTTCGTATTTTTTAAATCAAACTTCCCAAATCTCATTTCTAAAGGAAGCTCAAACAAGAGAAGCCCTTGAGCAAATGCAGGTGAAACAGCGCCACCTTCGCAACACTGAGGTTTCAAACCTCAACAAAGAGATGACCCCAGAATACGTACTCTTTGCCAGTGTGGTTGGGTCCACCCGCATCTAGAGAAAAAGAAAACACCATGAGGGTCAGACTATGTTGTCTCCTGGGTGCACAGGTCTTCACTTGTGGACATTAAAAAGACACATGGTAAATAGTGGTTGGGAAAATGGCCCCGATATCTAGAAGACATTCGTGGAAAGGCACAAGATTTTTCTACAAGATTTTCCATTGTTTTTGACAACTCCAAATACTTCTCAAGGAGGCATTTCTCTTGAGGAAAATGCCTGCTGACATACAGTGTGTAAATGTGAATGCCATCTGAAAGCATGTTTTAGTTGATAATGAACTCTGACATTTGCCACCAAGATATTCCTTAAGTCACCTATAATGTACATGGTAAGATGTATACATCTTAGTTCCATTAAAACAGAGAGAAACCGAGAGAAATAAAATTTCCATTTCAGAGGATAAAAGAAGACTCTACCATGTGAACCCCTGAGGCTTCCTCCGAGGATGTCTGCTCTGGCACATCCTCCTGCAGATCGTCCAGGTCACCTGCGAAACAGAGTCACTATAAGCACATGAGCTCCACTGACTGAATCCCTCAGGTGGTCTTGGAGCTGTGGACCCGGGGCTGGTGTGTGTGGAAAGGTGTGTTCACAGCACAGACTCAGCCTCTGCCGGTCCATCCTCCATGGTGGTGAGGGAAGGCAAATGGTGAAGGACGGCATCAGGATGGCCACAGAAGACAGGGCCTTGGTCCTCTAGCTAAGGCAACCTCTTGCACATGAAATAACCCATCTCAAACAGGGCCCACCACACAGCGTTTCCCTGCAGCATCCAGGGCTCCTCCTTCCTAATCTGACCTGAGCTAACTTGTCCTGCCTTCTCGATCCCCTCGAGGTCATTTCCTCCCCAGGATCCACATGTTCTGCTGTGTGTGTTTTGTCCCTCCTAGAACTTTTTCCTTTTTTTGAGATGGAGTTTTGCTCTTATCGCGCAGGCTGAAGTACAATGGCACGATCTCAACTCACCACAACCTCAGCCTCCCAGGTTCAAGCGATTCTCCAGCCTCAGCCTCTTGAGTCACTGGGATTACAGACATGCATCACCACGCCAGGCTAATTTTGTATTTTTAGTAGAGACGGGTTTTCTCCATGTTGGTCACTCTGGTTTCGAACTCCCGACCTCAGGTGACCCACCCGTCTGGGCCTCCCACCATGCTGGGATTACAGGTGTCAGACACCGTGGCCGGACAGAACATTTTGTACTAGATAAAAAGCAACCTTTCTTCAACGAGGAGACTCAGTTCTAGCTAAAGAATTCTCTATATTCACTAACCTTTTGTTTTAAAGAAGACCAAACCAAGATTTGAAAATACTCAATTATCCTACCATTTACAGACGACTCCTACTTGGCATGTGATGTTTGTCCTTCGGCTCTTCCTTTTAACACAATGTGTGTGTGTGCCGTGGGGCCTGCTGCTGCTCATGCTCACACTGGCTCCAGCCCTAGGACAGCCCACCCTGGGGGGCAGCAGGTGGGGGCGCTGACCCTCTCTAACCCAGCTCTGTAGAAGATTCCAGCGAGAAGATGAGTACCAGGATAATACCCAAGTTGTTCCTTCCGTTCTTATTTGCTGCTGTGTCTTGGGTGTGTGTGCTGAACTGCAGCACGTGTAAGGATTGTGGTGATTATCTCATTAAATACAATATAACATGTCTGATCATTTTCTGCTTTTCACCAGGAGATGAGAAAATTAACACAGCACTGCAGCCAAAAGCCTGACCTCTCAATGTCTGTTTGCCATTTGTGACCACACCAAAGTCCACTGTAAAATGTACTTATCCCCACACTGAGTTATGTGACCACTGACACAATCCTACATGAGAGACAGTATTTGGGAATTCTGAAGGCTATCCAGATTTCATGTGCACACCTAGGTGCTCAAGCTCTCTGCCATAATGACAAATTATACCAGAACCACGTGATTACTGCCGAGTAGTAGCCCATGGCATCACCTTCCACCCACTCCTGAGTGCACCTCTGCCTCCTCCACTGAGGAGATAAAGAGCTTGGCAAATTCATCTCTGCACTATCTCCACCTGAGTGCTGGGGATCTCCAACTGCCCTTCAGCTACAGCCGTGGTGGAGGACCAATGGGCTGATTGACGCACGGTGTGCAGTGGTAATGGGATTTTTACTTACCACACTCATCTTTGTGTTGAGCTGTGCACATGGAAACATGCTTTCTGGAGAAATGTACACATCCTCCCAAAGACACTCATGATCATTCTACACAGACTCCTTACACCCCCCACCCTGATGCACCTCATTCGATGTCATAAAAACGACACTGCAGCTAACACGCACTACGTAGGATGATCACCCCGCTTCAGTACACTCAGTAATTTCTACCCTAACCTCATTTCCAATAGAAAGTTCCAAGGAGAATGGTTCTCCCGATAATACCAGGCAAGAATGTGTCACCTTTCTTAACATTAAGATTTTTCCTTAGCAAAAAGGTGATCCCAGAATACGTACCATTTGTCTCTGTGAATGTCTCCGCCTGAGTTTAGAGAAAGGAAAACACTGTGAGGGTAAGATCGTGCTGTCCTTGTACACAGGTCTTTTCTTAACTTAGTGCTATTAGAAAGCCAGATGGGAAATTCTGGTGGAGGCAACGGCCACAAAAATAAAGCCTAGAAAACACTTGTACAAAGTCACCAGGTTTTTGTGCAAGATTTTAAAGTTAATTTTGGTGGCAAATTCAGTATTTTCAAGAAGGTTTTCCTCCTGATGAAAGTGCTTGCCGACATAGTTTGTAACTGAAGGTGTCATCCAAGAATGCCATCTTGAATTAGTCCTTAGTTGGTAAAGAATTCTCATTTTACAATTCCCACCAAGAAATTCTCTAAGTCATGTATAATGTACATGTCAATAAAGTTTTCCTATCTTTATTCAAGTGAAATTGAAAGAAACCTAGGAAAATGAAATTCCCCTTTCAGATAAAGAAAGAAGAACTTACGTTGATAACAGAGAGGACCCTCTCAACGGGTGCCTCACTTAGATAATCTGCTGCGAGGTCCTCTTGAGGATCTAGGAGACATAGGGTAAGTGTCACCACATGGATTCTGCTGAGAAGATTCCTCGGGTTGTATTGCGTGGTGTGGACATGAGGCTGGCATGTGTGAAGAAGGTAGGTTACCACAGACGGAGCTGTAGGCCCATCCTCCTTGGTGGTGAAGGCAGGCAAATGAGACCATGAGGAAAGTCATGGGAAACAGAGCCTTGGTCCTCTAGCTAAGGCAAGTTCAGCAATGAGACACAGCTGATCTCAAAGAGGGCACAGGACACGGGGCAGGCGACCCTCCCTACAGCGTGTCAGGTTCCTCCTTCCTAATCTGACCTGAGCTAACTTGCCCTCCCTTCGTGATCCCTTCTGAGGTCATTTCCTCCACAGCATCCACAGGTGCTGCTGATCATCATCCTCCACCCTGAAACATTTTGTGCTGCATAAAAAGCCACCTTTCTTCAAAAAAAAATTTAATTCTAGTCAAAATAGTTATGACTTCTCTGAACCTTTGATTCAAAGAGAATTAAACCAACATTTTAAAATAGTCAACTATCCTATCATTGAAAGATGACACACACTTAGCATATTTGCCCTTCGACTCTTCCTTTTCAACACAATGTATGTGTCTGTGAAATCAGTTCCTGCTCATGCTCACGCTGGCTCCAACACCAGGACAACCCATCATGGGGGGCAGGAGGTGGGGACGCTAACACTCTCCAAACTAGCTATGCAGGAAATTCCACCGGGGGAGATGGACGTCAGAATAACACCCTAGTTCTTCCTTGAGTTCCTATTCTGCACTGAGTCTTGGTTGTGTGGGCTGAATTAGGGCATATGTGACACTTGTGGCAATTGTGTTATTAAATAGAATAGACTGTGTCCCTGAATGTCCTCCGTTTTTTTTTCTTTAGACAAAATTTCACTCTGTTGCCCAGGCTAGAGTGCAGTGGCACGATCTAGGCTCATTGCAACCTCCGTCTCCCAGGTACAAGTCATTCTCCTGCCTCAGCCTCCAGGGTAGCTGGGATTACTGGCACCTGCCACCACACTCAGTTAATTTTTGTGTTTTTAGTAGAGACAGTGTTAGCCAGGCTCGTCTCAAACCCCTGACCTCAAGTGATTCACCCGCCTTGGCCTCCCAAAGTGCTGGATTACAGGCATGAGCCACCACACCCAGCCTGTTCTCTGCTTTTAAACAGGATCTGAGGAATAACACGACCACTGAACGAAAAGCCTGTGACCTCGCCATGTGTGTTTCACATTTCTGACCACACCAAAGTCCACTCTAAAACATCCCAACTCTAATTCTGGGTTATGCAACCATTAAGACCATCCTATGAGGACAGACAGTGCTTAGAATGTCTATACGCTAGCAAACTTCCACATGCACACCTAGGTGCTCAAAGTCTACAGACTGATGAGTTATACCAGGGCTGTGAGATCAATACAGGACAGTAGCCCATAGAATCAACCTTCCACCCACTCCTGATTTCCCATTTCCCTCCTCTACAGAGAAAGCCAGACGTTGACAAATTCATCCCTGCCCAACCAGTATCTGATGACTGGGGATATTAAACTTAACTTCAGACAACTGTGGTGGAGAATGAATGGGCTGATTTATGTAAAGTGTGCAGGGTGATGGAATAGTCTTAAAAAAAAAAATTAATCCTTGTGTTGTGCTATGATCATGCCCAAAAAATCCCAAAGACACATTCACTGCCCACAGACTCTCTCCTCCACACCTCCCAAACCTGATGCACACCACCCTCTTTCCCGTACGGGACACCACTTCCTGCACAGACTACAGAAAGATGGTCACAATTCTGTACCAAAGTCTTACTGTTTTTCATACCAAACTGCCTAAAACCTCATTTCTGTTAGGAAGCTCCAGAGAAAGTCTCCAACAAATGCACAGAAAAAGTGGCACCTTCAGGAAAGATATTACCTTAGCAAAAAAGTAATTCCTGCTGTGTGGGGGGCAAGGGGAGGGAGAGCGTTAGTATAAATACGTAATGCATGCTGAGCAGTAAACCTAGATGACGTGTTGATAGGTGCCGCAAACCACCACAACACATTTATACCTATGTAACAAACGTGCCATTCTACACATGCATCCCAGACTTCCAAGTAAAATAAAAACAATTTTTAAAAAAGCTATCCCAGAATACATACCTTCTGTCTCTACGTCAATGCTCTTCTGCAATTAGAGAAAAGAAAAACATTACAAGAGTCAGACCACACTGTGTCCTGTGTGCACAGGTCTCTACTGCACTTGTTGACATTAGAAAACCCAATGGAAATAGTGAAAACAGTCAACACAACGTCCCCAAATAAAGCCTAGAGGACACGTGCAAAGGCACAAGATTTTTGTGCCCGATTTTCAAGTTTATTTTCACTGCATGTTCACCATTCTTTACAAGAAGAAAGAACTTCCATGGAAAATGCTTACTGCCATAGAGTTTTTAGGTGAACCTGTCACCTACAAATGTCATCTTGAATTCATTCTTCTGGGTAATAAAGTCTCATCTTCAGCTGCCCATAAAGAAATTCTGTAAGTCATCCATACTGTACATGGAAAGATTATCATATCTTACTTCAATTTATATGGAAACCAAGAGAAACAAAATTCCCACCTCAGATAAACAAAAAAGACTTTACCTCAAAAGAGCCTAGTAACATCTCAGATAGTATCTTGAGTGGATGCTCACACAACAAGTCTTCGTCGCGCTCTAGGAAACACGGAGTCATTGTCAGCATGTTGGGTGCACTGAAGGAACCCGTCAGGGAGACTCGGGTGCTAAAAACACGGGGCTGGCACATGTAGACAAGGGGGGTTAACTGCAAAAACGGAACTCTTGCCAGAACATCCTCCTTGGTGATGAAGAAAGGTCAGTGAGACCATCAGGAAAGCCATGAAAGACAGAGCCTTGGCAGCACAGACACGCACTGCCGATGCCGTGGCAGTGTCTCATCCTTCCCCTACGCATTTAGAGGCCTGGGAAATTTCCACTTTCCTGTTGAAATGTGACAATGTCACTTATCCTTCCTAGGTCTACATATGCTTCTCCTTCACTTTCCATCCCTTTTATTGAACTTGAGACATCATTGTGGCAAAACATATACAAAATTTATTATTGTAATCATTCCGTGCTCACTTCAGGAAAAGACATGAGCAGAACCGCAGGAGCAGAGAAGAGAAAACCTCACTGCATGAGGAGCCCACACTCTTCTCCCCTGGATGAGAATCCACGCAGGCTCCTGGGTAAGTGTGGGAACCCAGAGACTACAGAAAAAGAGCAGAAAGCCTTTACATCATGTGCTAGATTTCAGAACAGGAATGCTGGCTTCAGAACATCACTGGGGCCCAAGATGGGATGCCCAGGACTGAGCTCTGGGATGAGAAGGAATGAGGAGGACACAGTCCCTGCCCTCCAGAGACCTGCCATGGCCAGGATTCCTCCACCTATGAGTAGGAGACAACAGACTTTTGGACTGATGATTGCAAGGCTGTCTCAGAGATACAGAGAAACTGATGTCTTATGGGTCACATGGGAAAGTAGAAAGGACAACCTAACACCAGGGCAGCCCCTCTCCCTTTGTTGGGCTCAGCCTGCCTTAGAGCAGGGTCTCCTCACCTCCTCTGACACCAGCACTGGGTACCTGCTCAGCCTGGGAGCTGAGGCTTCCCTCCAGTAAAACGGAACTCTGGGCCAGGCCACTCTTGGCCAATAATAGCTACACAAGGACCAGCTGTCCAGAGACTCCCAGAAGCTGTTCTTTGTCCCAGCCACAGGGAGATCAAGCATGCCTACTACTCTGTGTCTGACCTGACCCTCAATCCGTCCCTGCTGATCATGTCCTCTCTGGGCTAAGCTGAACATTACAGGAACTCACTCCTGTTCTCTGTCTCTCACTAATCTCTGGTGGTGCCATTGCCCTCAATACACAGGAAGATGGAGAAGACCAGAAACAAGGAAGGCGTTCCTATGACCAGGCTCGTAGGAAGACGGCCAATGTTCAGGCCAGCCATGAAGTCGGAGCTCAACGCCTCCTTCAGATGAGGCGTGAACATTCTGCCCATGTCCAGGTGATGATGTGGAACTGACTCTCCTGATGTTGCACCTCGGCGTCCCCCATGGCTTTGCTGCCCTCATACCTTCCTTCTGCTCCTCCAAATCATGTTCCTCTGCAGACCCAGGCCAAGGCTGTAGCCTGCTCTCTCCCTCATAGAGCCCAGTGGGCAGCTGCCTGTGAATTCTTAGGACCTCAATGTTGGTAACACAGATTTCTACCTTTAATCACTCAGCAGGAAGCCCCCGAGTACCACACAGAAACTGTATTCTAGAGATTAAACATGACTAGGAGAATTGGGTTATGAAGAGATAAGTTTCTGAGGTTAGCGAGGGACATTTTAAAATCACACCAGCCTGATTGTTTTAAAATGTGGGATAAGTATTGACACCTACACAGCAATTAAATTCAATATATACACATAAGTTTCCACCAAACGCATACTCCAAGCAAAAACACAGGCTGTACTTGGTTCAGGTTCTATTCCTATTGACCAAAACCAAATGCATTCACTTGTTTTGCAAAAGCCTTCAGAAACAAGCAGCCAACCAACGTTTGTCCATGGTGGGTTCAATGGGGACATCCTGGAGCCTCTGCTGTACCACAGTCACATTTGTCTTTGCCCACCTCGTAATGCATGAGTCACCCTCCATCCTCCTAGGAAGGCAAGTGCTCGCCCTGCCACTCACACCCTAGGGCAAACAGCGCCACCTTCACAACACGAGGATCTCAAACCTCAACAAAGAGGTGACCCCAGAATACGTACTCTTTGCCAGTGTGGCTGGGTCCACCCGCATCTAGAGAAAAAGAAAACACTATGAGGGTCAGACCATGCTGTCTCTTGCATGCATAGGTCTTTTCTTAACTTGACACTAAAAAAACCGATGGAAAATAGTGGTTGAGACAATGGCCCCAATATCTAGAAGACATTCATTGTAAGGCACAAGATTTTTCTGCAAGATTTTCCAATGTTTTTGTTTGACAATTCCAAATACTTCTCAAGAAGAAGGCATTTCTCTTGAGGAAAATGCCTGCTGACATACAGTTTGCAAATGTGGATGCCATCTGAAATCATTTTTTTTGGTGATAATGAACTCTGACATTTGCCCACCAAGAAATTCTGTAAGTCACCTATAATGTACATGGTAAGATGTATACATCTTAATTCAACTGAAACAGAGAGAAATAAAATTTCCATTTTAGAGGAAAAAAGAAGAATTTACCATGTGAACCCCTGTGGCTTCCTCCGAGGATGTCTGTCCTGGCACATCCTCCTCCTGATGTTCCTTGTCACCTGGGAAACAGAGTCACTATAAGCACATGAGCTCCACTGACTGAATCCCTCAGGTGGTCTTGGAGTTGTGGACCCGGGGCTGGCGTGTGTGGAAAGGTGTGTTCACAGCACAGGCTCAGCCTCTGCCGGTCCATCCTCCATGGTGGTGAGGGAAGGCAAATGGTGAAGGACGGCATCAGGATGGCCACAGAAGACAGGGCCTTGGTCCTCTAGCTAAGGCAACGTCTTGCACATGAACTAACCCCTCTGAAACCGGTTACACCACACAGTGTTTCCCTATAGGGCTCCTCCTTCCTAATCTGACCTGAGCTAATTTGCCCTCCCTTCTTGATCCCCTTGAGATCATTTTCTTCGCAGGATCCACATGTCCTGTTGCTGTGTTTTTCATCGCTTCTAGAACAATTTTTTTTTTTTTTTTTGAGACGGACTTTTTCTCTTCTTGACCAGGCTGGAGTGTAATGGTGTGATCTCGGCTCACTGCAACATCAGCCTCCCAGGTTCAAGCGATTCTCCTGCCTCAGCCTCCAGAGTAGCTAGGATTACAGGCATGCGCCACTATGTCCAGCTAATTCTGTATTTTTAGTAGAGACTGGGTTTCTCCATGTTGGTCAGGCTGGTCTTGAACTGCTGACCTCAAGTGATTCGACTGCTTTGGCCATCCAAAATGCCCGGCCAGAACATTTTGAACAAGATAAAAAGCAACATTTCTTCAAAGAAGAGATTTAATTCTAGCCAAAATGTTGTATGCATTCAGTAACCTTTTGTTTTAAAGAAGACTAAATCAAGATGAAAATACTGAATTATCCTACCATTTACAGATGACCCCTCCTTGGCCTGTGATGTTTGTCCTTCTGCTCTTCCTGTCAACGTGTGTGTGTCATGGGGTCCGCTGCTGCTCATGCTCACACTGGCCCCAGGACTGGGACAGCACTTCCTGGGGGGCAGCAGGCGGGGGTGCTGACCCTTTCTAACCCAGTTGTGCGGAAGATTCCAGGAGAGGAGATGGGCACCGGAATAACAGCCAACAGGCTCCTTGAAATTTTGTTAGGTCCTGTGTCTTAGGTATGTGTGATACTGAATTGGAACATTTCTAATGTTTGTGGTGACGATCTCATTAAATACAATAGAATGTCCCTGAATGTTCCTTGCTTTTGACCAGGAGGTGAGGAATACCCCATCACTTAAGACCAAATGCCTGGCAACTCTCTCTGTATGTTTCATACTAACAACCGCACCAAAGTCCATTGTACAATGAACCTACTCAAACTCTGGGTCAGCTGACCATTGAGACCATTCTATTGTGGTACACAGTGCTTGAGATCTTTATAGGCCAACACACTTCCACATACACAGATGCTAAGGACTCTCTGACAGGGTGACAAGTTACACCAGGGCCACGTGATAACTTCAGACTAGTAGCCCACAGCATCAACCTTCCACCCATTCCCGAGTTCATCTATGCCATTTCCATTTAGGAGACCAAAAGCCTGAAAATTTATCTCTACATCATCTCCATGTGATGACTAGGGATATTAAACTTAATCTTCCACTACAGCTGTGATGAGGAATGAATGGGTTGATTTTTGGAAAGTGCAGTGGTGATGAAATTTTGCGTTCAGAGTATCAATCTTTGTGTTGTGCTTTGCACATGGGAACATATTTTCTGGGGAAAAGCACACAAACTCGCAGAGATATTCACAATCACTCCACATTGACTCATTCCTCCATACTTCCCAACCCTGATGCCCAGCACACTCTTCTCTCCAAATGACACTGTGCCTTCCAGGCACTAGAGCCAATGGTCACATTTCTTGACCGGGTTCTTCACTTCTTAAGACAAAAGTGCTTGAATCACATTTCTGGCAGGAAGTTCAAACCAGAGTGGCTCTCCAGAAAAATGAGGCAAGAAAGTGTCACCTGTGTCAACACTAGAATTTTTCCTCAGCATAGGGGTGATCCCAGAATACGTACTCTTTGTCTGTGTGGCTTTGTCCACCTGCATTTAGAGAAAAATAAAACACTGTAAGGGTCAGACCATGCCGTGTCCTGTGTGCACAGGTTTTTCTTTTCTTTTTTTTTTTTTTTTTGCTGGAATCTTACTGTCACCCAGGCTGGAGTGCAGTGTCATGATCTTGGCTTATTGCAACCTCCGTCTCCTGGGCTCAACTGTTCCTGCTCCCTCAGCCTCCCCAGTAGCTGAGATTACAGTTGCCGGTCACCATGCCTGGCTAATTTTTGTATTTTTAGTAGAGATGGGGTTTCACCATACAGGTCTTGTCTTTACTGGTGATATTAGAAAAGCAGATGGGAGACAGTGGTTGAGGCAAGGGTCCCAAAATAAAGCCTAGAAGACACTTCTGGAAAGGCACAAGATTTTTATGCAAGACATTTAAGATTGTTTTGGTTGTATAGTCACAATGTTATAAGAAGAAAGCTTTTTCCCTAAAAAAATGTATTTCTACCATATAGTTCGTAACTGAAGGTGTCATCTAAGAATGCTATCTGAGATCATTTTTCTTTCTTTTTTTTTCTTTTTTGAGATGGAGTCTCACTCTTGTCACCCAGGCTGGAGTGCAGTGGCGCAATTCCCGCTCACTGCAAGCTCCACCTCCCGGGTTCCCGCCATTCTCCTGCCTCAGCCTCCCGAGTAGCTGGGATCACAGGTGCCGCCACCACGCCTGGCTAATTTTTTGTATTTTTAGTAGAGACGGGGTTTTACCATGTTAGCCAGGACAGTCTCAATCTCCTGACCTTGTGATCTGCCCGCCTCGGCCTCCCAAAGTGCTGGGATTACAGGCTGGAGCCACCGCGCTCAACTGAGATCATTTCTTACCTGGTAATGAACGCTCACATTTTCCCACCAAAAAATTCTGTAAGTCATCTATATGATGTACACGGCAAGATTTTCATATCTCATTTCAAATAAAATAAAAAGAACCAAGAGCAACAAAATTTCCATCTTAGAAACATAAAGAAGAACTTACCATGTGAACACCTGGGACATCCTCAGATGAAGGCTCCCGTGCCAGGTCCTCGTGATCTAGAAAACACAGAGTAGCTGTCAGCATGTTGGTTCCACAGAAGAAATCCCGTAGGCAGCGTTGGGTGCTGGGGACAGGGGGATGGCATGTGTAAAGGAGGTGAGTTAAGGGGAGAAACTTGGCTACCACTGGGATACCCTCCTTGGTGATAAGGAAAGGCAAATGAGACCATCAGGAAAGCCACAGAAGTCAGGGCCTGGTTCTCTGGCTCAGCCACCTCACCACTGGGAAATAGGCAGTGTTCACACAGGGCGACACACAGATGCACTGCTGATTCCATGACAGTGTCCCAACACACCTTGTGTGTTTTTGAGGCCTGGTAAATTTCCTTTTGTTGTTCAAATGTTATAATGTCATTTATCTTTCCTGGATATACACATGCTCCTCCTGCACTTATCATTCATTTTAGTGGCTTTAAAATCAATATGTGGCCAAAATACATCATATTTATTATTTTAATAATCAAGTGCACACTTCAGGGTCATCAGTGCCATTCACACTTCTGTGCAGTTAAGTTAAACATAATCCAAATCCAGATGTCTTACTTTCCACCTTAAGAAACTAGAGAAAAAAGTGTAGTGTAATGTAAACCAGACAACCCCCCCTCCCCCAAAACATAATAATATTTGCAGAAATCAATGTAATAGAAATAACAAAATAAACAAAGAAACTCAACAAAACCAAAAGCTGCTTCTTAGAAAAGATCAATAGAATTGGTAAACCTCCAACCAGGCTAATCACAAAGAAAATATATATTAACACTGTTCGATGAAACCAATGGGCTGTTGTTCACTGATAAGAATTATTAAGCTGTTAAGCTTCAAAAAGATACAAAAGATCTTACATGTATATTGCTAAGTAAAATAAGTTAGTCATAAGCAGCTACATACGACATGATTCCAACTCTATGAAATTCTGGAAAAGGAAGCCTATAGAGGCAGTAAAATCATCCATGGTTGGCAGGAATTCTCAGAAAAGAAGAGAGGAATTAGTAGATGCAGCTCAGGTCATGTTTAGGATGTGAAATTATTCTGTCAGGGTGACAAAGGACATTGTGAGTTTGTCAGAACCCATAGACTGGACGACACGGAGTGAACCTTGATGCTCACCCCGGACTTCTGTTCATAAGAACGTGTCACTATTGGCTCAGCCATTGTTACAAGCGTTATCACACTCACGTAAGATGGGATCACAAAACTGAGGAAGGTGGGTATATGGAAATTTTTGGTACCACTTCCTTCACTTTTAGGTTACTTCCAAACAGTTTGAAGTGATGTCCATCACTTTACAAACCTGGCAACACTGTCTCAGAAAAAGATCCTTGTTAGTTAATGTTTAACAATCAGCAAAATGTCTACAATTTGCACTGAGATGTTCTTTACTATTAAAAGGAAACCAAACCGGGAATGGAAATACACCTTTACTGCTATAGTTGCAGCACTAGTGACTGACTTAATACATTTAAACACGTACACGTGAAACAAAGAATACAGTGTAGCAATTTTACAATTGTCTGAAATATGACACGAAGAATCTAGAAATCCTATCGTGAATGAACTGAACGACTGAGTTTCCACGGTACCTTCCATTGGTATGACTCTAGGGCGCACACAGCTGGGACACCAGCGACGGAGGTTTCGCTTCTTACGCCTGCGGCGGCGGACGGAGGACTCCCTGGGCACCCCAGGACCCGCTCTTGGATCTTCAACAGAACATGCTGGGAAGTGAATTAAAATAAAGACAGCTGTTGATATCTTGCTGCAGAAGATCAGATAAATGAGTCATTATTTATTCACAGCTTACATGTTTGATCCCATTGTTCGTCATCTGCAGAGCAAAGTCCCCTGAATCTGAGTTTGGCTTCAGAAAGAACTTGCACTGTGGGTTGCACTTACAACGGGGCAGGCAAATGCCTGTATTGAGATGAGACGTTACAGAAAGGCAGATTGGACTGACCGAGAGCATAGGGTCTGGTGCAGAGAATCTGAGCTCGAGGACTTTTGAGAAGCTGCCAGAATCTGAGAGAGTTCTACAGACCCCTCTGGGCCTCCGATCCTTAGTCTGAATGTGGAAATGCTGATAATAGCCCATGTTATGTTAAAAGGGTAAAAACAGCTAAACAGACCAAAAGCCTTAAGACGGGTGCTTCCTAAGTGCCATAGAGTGTTGAATTCAATTATTTCATGTCTGCAAGAACAAGTCAGGCCCTTGGTAGTGGTTAACAGAGAAGGCACTTGGGGGACTCCAGGGCAGTGGAGGGTAAAATTCTCTTCATTCTTGATATGTGTCTCATGCTTTAGAACTCGTGAAAAGTTTCTGTTCGAATTTCCTGTGGGGCCCACATCAGCTCAGAGAGATGGGCAGAGCAGGGGCTGCCACTCAGAGGTGACAGTTCAGGGAAGTGAAATGAAGAGATTTGAAGCAACCTGCCCAGAGTCCCAACACTGACCAATGATAGATCTGAGACAGGAATTTGGTTGATTTTCCGGGGACAGAGATCCCTGAACACCTGAGGCCTCTAAATCATGGCCCGGACCCTGGACCTGGAGCTCTTTCCACTCCCTTTCTCAATCCTCCTGCACCAACGGCTCTTCAGGAAGGTCGAGGTATTGGAAGAGGTGCTGAGTCCAGAAAAAGCTCAAATCATTAAACAAAACATAACTCCTGTCTCTAGGTTTTAACACCTGGGCTAAAATATGGCACTTTCCTGCAAACGAAGCCTCTCTGAGGAACAAATGCAAACGTCTGGTCATCCTACCCAGCGCCCGTATTGTCAGCTGTCTGGCAGTGAGCAGCCCTCCACGACCAACTGACCACACCAAGGGACCAAGTTCTGCTTGGCCCCCAAGCTGGTTCGGAACACAGGACATTCCAGACTAACTACCCTTGATGGCTGTGCCAAGAATGAACTTCCCTTCAACTGAATCACCCTCGACAAGCAGTTAGTGGGAATGAACTGAAAATGTGGCACCCCAGTTGAGTTTTCAGTGGTTTCTTCTGTATCTAGTCAATGGGAGAGTGTGTTAAAACAAAAAACAAACAAAACAAAACACAAAGGCCGGGCGCGGTGGCTCACGCCTACAATCCCAGCACTCTGGGAGGCCAAGGAGGGCAGATCACAAAGTCGGGAGTTCAAGACCAGCCTGGCCAATATTGTAAAACCCCGTCCCTACTAAAAATACAAAAATTAGCTGGGCATGGTGGCAGGAACCCAAATCCCAGCTACTCGGGAGGCTGAGGCAGGAGAATTGCAAGAACCTGGGATACGGAGGTTGCAGAGAGCGGAGATCATGCCACTGCAATCCAGCCTGGGTGACAGAATGAGACTCTCTCAAAATAAATAAATAAATAAATAAAATAACATAACATAAAAAGCCAGGCGCAGCAGCTCATGCCTGTAATCCCAGCACTTTGGGAGGCCACGGCAGGTAGATCAGGAGGTCAGGAGTTCAAGACCTGCCTCACCAACATGATGAAACCCTGTCTCTACTAAAAATACAAAAATTAGCCGGGCGTGGTGGTGGGCGCCTGTAGTCCCAGCTACTCAGGAGGCTGAGGCAGAAGAATTGCTTAAACCCAGGAGGGCGGAGGTTGCTGTGAGCCGCGATCATGCCACTGCACTCCAGCCTGGGCAACAGAGCAAGACTCTGTCAAAAAAAAAAAAAAAATTGGCGTGGGAAACAGAAATTTTTCTAGAGAAAAATATTTGAGGCAAAAACCTTGATAGAAGAATAAAAATTATAAATTGAGTAATAAAACTCTAAAACATATTTATAAACATGTGGACAAATAGGAGCTGGGGAAATTTTTTAAAAAATCAGAATGACATTTAACATACAGGAAAACTGGCCCATCTGAAGAAACCGCAGTCAGAAGATAGAAATGAACATACATACCCCTGAGGCAGCCACTGGAACTATTCCCCATCGTGAGGCCTGAGACAACTAAGCTGCTTTAACTGCCAACGTTCAGCTGCGAGAATGGCAGCAAAATTGAAGGCAAAACCTACATCGTCAGGTCACCTCAGCGACAGGTCACAGTAGAATTTTTGCAAGCATACGTGTCACAATATGGGGCCCAACTGCTGTGACCTAGACCAGTCCATGGTCACTTTGACAAGGGGTCACTTAGACTCCATGTTTTGTTTCAAAACCTGAATCCCAGACATACCGTATTATTCTATGTGAATGAAACAAACATTAAAAGAGGAAAAAGATCTGCCTCTACAATATATTTCATAGCGAAAATTTCAGGGTGAAGAGGGGAAAAGCTAAAACATTGAGAGTAAAGGGAGAGTCTATGCTTGACCTGAAGTGCCATCCCTACCCATTTCTATTACTCCTGAGTCACCAGACAGTCCTAGGTTCAACAATTTTAAAGTATTTCCAAATTAAATTTAAAATGCAGTAGTGTAAGTTCAATTTTCAAGCCAAACGCTAAGAATATAATTCATACTAATTCTAAAAATCTCCCATCAGTTATGTATACTACACCTAGTTTTTCTCTGTAAGCAACTAACTTTGTATACTTACTAATTTCTGAATCTCTGAGTTTACTGAGGGATTTCTCTGACAATGTATATATCGAAGACTGGCTATTCATTGATACATGAAGAAAAAAGAAGCACTTAGGCCAGGTGCAGTGGCTCATGCCTGTAATCCCAGCAATTTGGGAGGCCAAGTCAGGTAGATCAGGAGGCCAGGAGTTCAAGACCTGCCTCGTCAACATGATGAAACCCTGTCTCTATTAAAAATACAAAACTTAGCCGGGCGTGGTGGTGGATGCCTGTAATTCCAGTTACTCAGGAGGCTGAGGCAGGAGAATCGCTTAAACCCAGGAGGGCGGAGGTTGCTGTGAGCCGCGATCATGCCACTTCACTCCAACCTGGGCAACAGAGCAAGACTCTCAAAAAAACAAACAAAAAAAATTGGCATGGGAAACAAATTTTTTTAGAGAAAAATATTTAAGGCAAAAACCTCGATAGAAGAATAAAAAATACAAATTAAGTAATAAAACTCTAAAACATATTTATAAACATGTGGACAAATAAGAGCTGGGGAAATTTTTTAAAAAATCAGAATGACATTTAACATACAGGAAAACTGGCCCATCTGAAGAAACCGCAGTCAGAAGATAGAAATGAACATACATACCCCTGAGGCAGCCACTGGAACTATTCCCCATCGTGAGGCCTGAGACAACTAAGCTGCTTTAACTGCCAACGTTCAGCTGCGAGAATGGCAGCGAAAATGAAGGCAAGACCTACATCGTCAGGTCACCTCAGCGACAGGTCACAGTAGAATTTTTGCAAGCATACGTGTCACAATATGGGGCCCAACTGCTGTGACCTAGACCAGTCCATGGTCACTTTGACAAGGGGTCACTTAGACTCCATGTTTTGTTTCAAAATCTGAATCCCAGACATACCGTATTATTCTATGTGAATGAAACAAACATTAAAAGAGGGAAAAGATCTGCCTCTACAATATATTTCATAGCGAAAATTTCAGGGTGAAGAGGGGAAAAGCTAAAACACTGAGAGTAAAGGGAGAGTCTATGCTTGACCTGAAGTGCCATCCCTACCCATTTCTATTACTCCTGAGTCACCAGACAGTCCTAGGTTCAACAATTTTAAAGTATTTCCAAATTAAATTTAAAATGCAGTAGTGTAAGTTCAATTTTCAAGCCAAACGCTAAGAATATAATTCATACTAATTCTAAAAATCTCCCATCAGTTATGTATACTACACCTAGTTTTTCTCTGTAAGCAACTAACTTTGTATACTTACTAATTTCTGAATCTCTGAGTTTACTGAGGGATTTCTCTGACAATGTATATATCGAAGACTTGGCTATTCATTGATACACGAAGAAAAAAGAAGCACTTAGGCCAGGTGCAGTGGCCCATGCCTGTAATCCCAGCAATTTGGGAGGCCAAGTCAGGTAGATCAGGAGGCCAGGAGTTCAAGACCTGCCTCGTCAACATGATGAAACCCTGTCTCTATTAAAAATACAAAACTTAGCCGGGCGTGGTGGTGGATGCCTGTAATTCCAGTTACTCAGGAGGCTGAGGCAGGAGAATCGCTTAAACCCAGGAGGGCGGAGGTTGCTGTGAGCCGCGATCATGCCACTGCACTCCAGCCTGGGCAACAGAGCAAGACTCTGTCAAAAAAAAAAAAAAAAATTGGCGTGGGAAACAGAAATTTTTCTAGAGAAAAATATTTGAGGCAAAAACCTTGATAGAAGAATAAAAATCATAAATTGAGTAATAAAACTCTAAAACATATTTATAAACATGTGGACAAATAGGAGCTGGGGAAATTTTTTTAAAAATCAGAATGACATTTAACATATAGGAAAACTGGCCCATCTGAAGAAACCGCAGTCAGAAGATAGAAATGAACATACATACCCCTGAGGCAGCCACTGGAACTATTCCCCATCGTGAGGCCTGAGACAACTAAGCTGCTTTAACTGCCAACGTTCAGCTGCGAGAATGGCAGCGAAAATGAAGGCAAGACCTACATCGTCAGGTCACCTCAGCGACAGGTCACAGTAGAATTTTTGCAAGCATACGTGTCACAATATGGGGCCCAACTGCTGTGACCTAGACCAGTCCATGGTCACTTTGACAAGGGGTCACTTAGACTCCATGTTTTGTTTCAAAATCTGAATCCCAGACATACCGTATTATTCTATGTGAATGAAACAAACATTAAAAGAGGAAAAAGATCTGCCTCTACAATATATTTCATAGTGAACATTTCAGGGTGAAGATAAGAAAAGCTAATACATTGAGAATAAAGGCAGATTCCAGGCTAGATGTGAAATGCCTTCCCCACCCATTTCTACTATTCCTGAGTCACTAGAGAGTCCTAGCTTCAACAATTCTAAACTAGTTCCAAATTCAATTTAAAATGCATTAGTGTAAGTTCAATTTTAAAGCCAATCTCTAAGAATTCATAGTAATAAAAAAAGATACGAAATGATTCAGTACAAATTTCCATCACTGTTGATTCGTCACAAGTTTTAAGAACTATTAAATCAAATGGGTCATTGATGAGGAATAAAAACTGCATTAATATAGATGTTGCAATTTTTTCAGGGATTATCTAATTGACGGAGTGGTTAGCAGGATTTGGGAAGGAACACATATTACCTGTGTAAATGGAGAATTTTAATTCTCAACAACTGAAAATTGTGCAGGTGTGCACATATAAAGATACACATACATATGAGAGAGAGAAAACTTAGTTTAAAAACACTAGACCACAGATTTATATCTCTTAATGCTAAATTGGGACAGGCATTTTTAAAAACAGAATATATTAGGAACAATAAAAAGGAATGAGCCTAAGGCTTTCCTTCCTGGTGTCACCTAAGTGTTCACAGTAAATGAAAATAAATGAGCCTTTTACCCTGGTAGCCAAAGCCCTTTTAAAAAGCTTTGTGGTGGTGTCACTGCTATATGATTGTTCAATTAATAAATCTGGTAAGATGTGCAGAAACTTAACAGTTGTTACTTCCAGAGGCAGACGCTGGCAGGCCGCAGAAGAGGGAAAGACAAGTCCAGATGTCAGTGTGCAGTCTTCTGTGCCTTGTAAATGTTCTACTAGCATGTTATCCCCAAAAAAGTAAACCCCCAAATGCTGGTAGAAAGCAAACACTTCAATCTGCTAATGCTTCACAGGGACAAGAATTCAGGCAGGACACAGAACAGAGAGCTTACTGGTGCTTGTTGATGTCTGGGGACTGCAGAGAAGTCTTATGGAGTGGGATTAAATTCACAGCAGGGGGTTGGAATCTTCTGGATGTGCCGTCATGCACAGGTCTGCAGAGGAACTTGGGCTTGGCTGGAGAACACACAGGACTTCCCTGGGCTTCCAAGCAGCAGGCAGTCTCAGGACACTCAAGAGCTTTGAATTGGTGGCCACGGGCTTCACTGGTGAGTGTCCTGAGTGAAGCAGGCAGACACTCATGGCGTTTCTAACATAATTGTGGAAGTTACACAACATCACTTCCACATCATCTGCCAGTGAAAAGCAAGCACTAGTATCAAGTCTGATTAACCAGTGAGGGTGGGCAGAGACGCCACCTCTCAAAAGGAGAATAGCAAAGAAACTGCAAACGTGTTAAAAGCCACGTGCATATTCCAGCTTAAAAATCTCCAGTGCAGAGATACCTCTCAGATATGTGAGACAGGGCCTGTCACTCTTTGGCACCGGCCAAGAGTAAGGTAAGTGTGGGTTTCACTTATGCATCAGCCACTGTGAGTTGATTGACAAGTGAATACAAACATTCAGGGAAACTAACCAAAGCGCGTTACAGGGTAACAGGTAACGAAAGGTGGTGTAGACCTGCTATGCTGCTCTACGAAGAAACCATTTCATCCACTCTGCTCACAACATCTATGCATTTGGAAATGGAGAGGAGACTTTCTTCCTCCACTTTAGATTCAGGGGTACATGTGCAGGCTTGTTACATGGGGAAACCGCGTGTTGCTGAGGCTTGGTATTGGACCTAATTAAACTAAAGAGCGTCTGCTCAGCAAAGAGACCTTATTTCTTATAAAAGGTTGCACACAGCCCACAAAGTGGCCATCCCGCAGGCTAGGAAGTGTGCCTCCCACCGAGGTAAGAGCCTGGCACGTGGAAGGAGGAAGAGTTGGGGCAGGAGCTTTACTCTGGACAAGCTGGCTAAACAAACTTTCAACAGGTTACAGGAGGAGCCAGGAATATTCATGACGGTGGTCCTGATGCACGTGTACCGACCAAACATGTGTGTAACACACGACCCATGTTCACTTTGGGGTGAAGACAATCTGTAAATGTGTTACAATTAGGCTCTTTACCTCAAAAGGTCTTTTCAGGACACACAGGCACACAAGTGCACAGCCTCTGTAAACCGGCCACAATCAGTCCATCGTGGGTGGGCTCTTAATAAAAGAAAGTTACTAAAAACAATCTCCTGTCCCATCAGAGCTGTAGTTACGGCTGCTAGAACAGGGGTTGGGGGCCAGTTAGTCCGTGCCTGGTGCTGAGCTACCATGGTTTTAACAGTGCTTATTTAGCTGCTAGAGAAAAAGAAAACCCTGTGGCAATCAAAACAGTTTATTCCTTAAGTCTTGCCTGGCATGGCCTTAGGTGCTGTTTGTAATTTGGTACCTCGCTGTCACAAAGCTTCCGTTCTGTCAGTCGTACGATCTCTACTGCAGCAGGCAGGCTGGGCGGCTGCGTCTAAACATAAAAGGAAGGGGCATAACATGGCATCAGATCGCCCAGCCCGTCATGGCCCAATGCCCGGCACTGAGCGGTGAGGAGGAAAGGCCTGGAGCAGGCTGGACTGAGTGGTCCACAGGAGCCTCATTTTGGGAGCCAACTGCCTCAGTTCATGGCCCCACAGCCCAGCTGCACTCACTTACGAGTCAGTCCCTCCATCTGGAAACTCCGACAGCCTGTCCCGTTCCTAGTGCCCTCAGTTTAAGCATCTCTCTGTCAAGTTGTCAAGAAAACACTGGTCTCTGGAGATGCATGGACAGCCTAGTGCATACACTGGGCACTCAATAAATGCCAAGGGCAGCTACCTCCCTGGTGTCCAATGAGGACGACTGTCATGATCATGGCAGTGCAGCCTGAGTCCCAGACTTCAATTCCTTCTTCCCGAAATGTAGAGCAGGGGACCCAGGGTGGGGTGCAGGGCCCCTGCAGACTCCTCTCCTCCTGGGCCCCCAGCCGGGAGAGGGGTGGCCTGGAGGAGCCGCGGGAGGAGGAGCAGAGACGGGAGCTGGCCCTGGCCCTGAAGGTGCCACCATCTCTGCATCGTCCTATCTTCCTGGAGCTTCTTCCTCCAAGATTTCGCCTGAGCCACCCACTGGAGAACACAGACATCTCTCCCCGCACTCTGTGCTGAGACACTGAGGCCCCGAATTTGCCTCTCACACTCATGTTGGAACTGTGACCAGGACCTGGGCCTCCTGACACCCTTAGAAGACACACAGCCCTCTGCCACGGGTGGGAAGGGGTCGGGGCATGGCTGAGGTTTCATCAGCAACTGGGCACTGGGGGAGCCAGCACCCCAAGGCTGCCTTCTGCACACAGGCCCGGTCTTCTGCTCTGAGGCGCCTGGCCCCGAGCAGTGCCACGGCACCACCCACACTTCCACACCCGCCAGCCCAGCTGCAGCAGCTTGGCCAAGATAACAGGCGCTCCTGCTCAAACCACATTTCCCAGCTTTTGCGGAGTTCATCACCAGCCTCGCTAGCAGTGACTTCCCACTTCCACGCAAAGGAAACTGCCAATGAGGTAACCATCCATTTTTTTTTCCTAGAGTGAGGCCTGGCTGGAAAAGAACAGGCCACCCCAGTGGCCTGTGAACGACCTTGTGAGGGTCACCAGGCCCCCTCAGCTGCAAGGCTCGAGCCCACCCCTGGCCGACTACATCATGCACTGGCCCTTGCCAGGGTGACGAGGCCAAGGCATCACCAGCTTTGACCTGGTGCCTCTGGCCTGGGCAACTGTCCCCTGTGCACTCAGCAAGGCACATGCTAATTTAACCCAATCTGTCAGCCCAGGTGCCTGGAGCTGAAATGGCCTGCCCACTTTTGCCCCGCCCCAGCCCCCTTTCAACATGAACCTTGAGAGTCTGTGGTGCATTCTTCAAGAGTGGGCGCACTCTGGGTGCTTCACCCACATCATGCACTTCATCAAAACCACTGTCAGAGGGGGGACCTGTTAGGATCCCCGTCTCCCAGAGGAGGAAACTGAGGCAGAGACAGGGTGGGTACCCCACCTGAGGACACACAGAGAATAAGCTAGGACAGAGCCTAGTGGCAGGTCCACGCTCCTCCACTCAGTGACAGGCATGCAGAGAAGCCAGGGCACCTTGAGCTGCCATCCCTGGGCCACTTACCCACCGGCTTGCGGCCCAGGCCAAAAACATCCCCATAAATAACCGTCCACAGCTGCCCTCAGCCTCCTCTAGAAGGCAGGTGCCCCAGAAGCTTCCTCACAAGCTCTTTGACGTTTCAGTGGCATGCGGGTGGCTGAGGAGCCCTGAAGCCAGGTGAAGGTCCGGGAAGGTGAGACGGGGATTTAGCTCAGGCAGTGCCCACCAGCAGGGACAGCACCGCCATGGGCGCCTGCTTGGGAGGAGCACCTCAGGTGGTTTCCCCGACGCTCAGTGCTCAAGGCCCCACACCCGTCCTTGCTGGACATAGAGAATTAACTGAGCTTCCAGGGGTCCCTGGAGCTTAGTGCCTGTGCACACCAGTGACGTGACACGGGACTTACAGCTGGGGATGGGTCAGGGCAGCCCTGGCCAAGCAGCTGCCACATGGGGCAACCCCTGCAGTGACAGTATCAGATGGGTCTCCACCTCCCCAGGGTAGCCCATGGGGCAGAGCTGGGCTCCTCTGAGACCCACTGCAGCTCTGGGGAAGGGAGGGGTCTGGACATATCCTCATCACAGACTAAGAGGAGCAATGGGGGTGAAGTGGCAGCCCAGGTCCCAGGTGGAGCTGCCTTGGACTCCAGAGCAGAATCCAAGGGGAGCTTGGGGGGTGAGCACAAAAAAGGCCTGAGGGTCTGCTAGGGTGGAGGGTGAAGGGAAGAGAGCTGGGAACCTCTAGAGCAGGTTCCAGCCCAGCACAGACTGGGGTTCAGACAAGCCCAGGACACAGCCAGGCAGCCCAGTGCTGGGGCACAAGTCACCCGCATCTGGACACTGCTATCCAACCTCAGAACCTCAACTTCAAGAGCAAAAAGGAATCCAAGCCCAAGGTGGGGTGGCTGTGCCAGGAAGGGTGGTAGTACCAAGTTTCCAATGATGCTGCCCCCATGTGTGACAACTCATGCCTCCCTCTGGGCCTCAGTTTCCCCATGTGTAAAATGAGAGGTTTGTACCTGATGCTGAGGCTCCTCTCAGCTGGGGTTCTGATGCCCTTTGAGCCCGTGTGATGTCTGCAGGATCATTCACCAAAGGAACTTCTGACCAGGGTCCAAGGAGCCTGTGGGCATGATAGAAATCAGGATGGGTCCTGGCCTAGGTGGCCCCCTGGGGGTGAGGGACAAGGGGCGAAAATAGGGCCAGAACCACAAGTGTCCTCCTAGGCCACTGACCACGAGGCAAGAAGATGTGAGCCTAGTCCAAAGGAGCGATTTCAGTGACAGGAAGGAGCAGACAAGCAAGGCAGAGCAGCCCATCCCGTGCCTCTGTACCCCTTTGTTGTATGCCACAGCTGGACACAAGGCCTGCCCCTGTTCCCAGCTGTGAATGGGGACAGGAACTCCTCCCCGGGAGCACAGAGTGTCTGCCTATGGATGCCAGTTCTCCCACCCCAGCCATCAGATTTGTGGGAACCCACCCCTGAGCTGGCCTCCAGAGCTGCCTGGGTGCAAGCACCACTCTCCCAGGAAAGTGGCTCAGGGCTGGCGGCATGTCATCTCCAGAGCTGCCTGGGTGCAAGCACCACTCTCCCAGGAAAGTGGCTCAGGGCTGGCGGCATGTCATCTCACCACAGCAGTTACAGCAACCAACTCACACCGGATCTGCCCGGTTATTGTCAGAGTCTGGATGGAGGGGGAGCAAGAGAAGGCAGCCCTGCTTTCCCACGCAGCTGAGCCCTGCCTCATCATGGCGTTGGTCCCTGGCACCTTCCCCAACCCCCACCCTTTCCAAGGGGGTTCCTGAGCAGCCCCTTCTCACACAGGAGTGGTAACATCATTGCTTCCAGGATGTTTGCACTCAACGTGTCCTCGGGGTCAGGTCTTCTGACAACGTCCTCAGGGTACCTGAGGGTGTGGTGACTCAATGCCCACATTAGGACACAGATATACCCACGTCCTTCCCACCAGGGACCTGGGGCTCAGGTACTGACGGGGATGCCCCTGGATGAAGCTGCTTCTGAGAAACCCGGGTGCCGCTGTGACAGCGAAGTCAGCTCCACTGCAGGACGGGCCACCTGAGATGAAACCACTGCTCAGCAGCCCTGGGCGCAGATGTGACGTAAAGTCAGCCACACGACAGGAGACCCCTGAGACAGCCGGATCGAGGGCTCAGAAGGAAGCTTCTCCAAAGAGAGAGGCCACTGGCCGGCAAGCACAGGAGAAGATGCCCAGCCACACTGTCACCAGGGAAAGGCAAATCAAAGCCACAAAGAGATAGCACTGCGCACCCACTGGATGGCCAGGTGAGGCACACCAGAGAATAACACATGGTGCTGAGGACCCGATAAAGGAAGACCCTCTGCACCTCTGCTGGAAATGGAACGTCATTCAACCACCGTGGAAAACAGTTTGGCAGCCAATTTCATACCTGTGACCCCAAAGCACTGAAAGCAGGGACCTGGATATTTCTAACAAGAGTGTGCCCAGCAGCATTTTTCATGACCACCAAAGGGTGGGAAGCACCCAGGTGTCCATCCCGTGATGGACAATTCACCCCAACAGAAAGGGGGCCTGACACAGGCCACAGCAGGGAGGAACCCTAAAGATCTTATGCTGAGTGACAGAAGCCAGACAAAAGCCCATGCAGATGAAATGTCAAGAGGCCAAGCCACAGAGACGGAACTACAGACTGGGGGTTATCAGGGTCCAGGGGAGGGGAGTGGCCAGCCACTGTTTAATGGGCATGGGGTTTCCTCTTGGGGTTATGGAAATGTCTTGGAACTATGTAGACGTGATGGCTGTGCAAGGCTGAGAAAGGGCTAAATGCCACCAAATTTTTTAAAAGGTTAGTTTTACATTATGTGAATTTCATCTAAATAAAAAAAGAACCCATAATTATTTGACACACTTTTTCTCCCTCTCTGCACCCCAGCTGCTGGGCCCATCGCCAGCTCCTGCTGTTCACATGAGGACAAGGACAGAAGAGCCCACGGGCAGGAGCGTGTGCAGGCGAACCGCTCCCCCACGGCCCACCCCTGTGTCCTTTGTAATCCAAGCCTCCCTGGCAGTGAGAAGGGCCATGTGACAGGACCCCGTGAAACACAGACAAAGTGATGGTGGCCCCCCTTCCAGGCCTCAAAGCTCCTCAAGCCTCAGCCTCCTCAAATTCTGTGCCCTTCTGCGCAAATGGCTGGTCACACGAGCTGGAAGGTGTGGCCACCAACCCCAGGGCCTGGAAGACATGCCAGGCTGTGCCATTGCGTCAAGCAGGACACAGTGGACAGCGCTCAGCCCCTGAGACCGGGAGCGTTTCTGCCACCCAGTTCGGTCTCACCTACCCTTGCAGATGCAGGTGGTGGGGAGGCTGGGGAGTAAACATGATGTGAGCCCTTCCTCAGTCACGATGTTCCAAGGCTCTGTGGGGCGTCCTGTTTGTGACCTGCCAGGAGTCTCCTGCAGAGATCACCCGTGGGCTGCCCACTGGTGCTGGGCCACACAGCCAGGCTGACCCCTCACGATGGCAGAGCATCATGCCCATGTCTCTGAGTGCCTGTGAACCCTGCTTCCCCAGGTGAGGAGGGCCATACCCAGAGCCCTGCCTCAGCTAAGTGACTGGAAGGGGGCTCAGGCTTCCCTGGGCACAGCAGATGCCCCACAGGCAATAGTGGAGCAGCAGGAAGGAGAGCAGACCAGGAAGCCCCCAGCCCTCCCAGGACCAGCCCCTGGCTGCTGAGTCTGTACTGGTTTTAGTGGCAAGAAACCCAGTGAGCCCTCTCCCTCCACTGGACGCCCACCCCAGGTCCTGCTGCACCCCTAGCTCACTCACCCTTGGGTCCTGGCACCTGGTGTGCTCACCTGCCCCAGCATCTCCCAGCTCATTCATTAAATTCTAGGAAATAACATGGTTTCTTTTTCTCTTTCTGAAACACAAGGGAGAGAATTTCCTGGAGTCACAGAGGCACAGGAGGGAACTGGAAGCAACCTGGATGGCCCTTGTCCTGCCTCCTGCCCGGGACCACATTGACCCTCAGCCACTTCCCTGGAACCCTGGGCTTCTACAGGGCACAGACGTCAGCAGCCCAGGGCACAGAAGAGCCCAGAGCCAGGAATGGAAGTGCCACAGCCAGCAGCTGAATCTGAGAGGCAGCTCCAGGGCCCTGGGACCTAGTCCTGCACGCCACAGACATCTCCCTGAGCTGGCCCCAGGCCTTCCGGGTATCCCCAGTATGAGGGAGAAAAGCATGCATCCACCATCCCGCCAGGTGGGCGCACACCTGTCCAGGGGCACAGGTGACCTTTCTGAGGTGGTGCCTGGGCCGCTGTACTTTGTGCTGCCACCTGAACTGCCGCCCTCAAGGTCCTGCCTGTGCCATCTCCCTGCCGCCGGCTCTCTAGGACGCAGAAGCCAAGCACAGAGGAGCTGCGGGAACACAGACCTTGCTGCCCGCTCTCACGCATTCCCTCCTCGCCTGGGGTCTCAGAGAGGACAGCTCAGGGATCCACAGGATTCACAGCCTCCAGGCTCTGGGGAAGGGGAGAACGGGGTCCCTGAGGCCCCCAAGATCATACACCTATGAGGCTAGGGCTCCGTGGAGGTCCAGGTCTGCTCAGAGTCATCCATGTGCCTGGGCCTCGCCATAGGGAGGTAAGACCAAAGTGGGGAGGAAAGGCGGGACTTCAGGCACTGCCAAGTGTCCTGGAGCCTGGGTCAGGAGAGGGCCTGTCCTCCAAGGTCTCCTGGGGGAGGTGGAGCCCGCCTCAGGGGGCACAGCATCACCTCCTTCAGCCCCAAGCCTGGGCCAGGCTGCCACTCTGGTGGGGGAGCCAGGTGGGCTCTGGGAGGCCTGGGACTTTCTCACCCCTCCCAGCCCCCAGGGGCACAGTGCCTGGGTGAGACACCCCAGGGGACCTGTGAGCTTGACCTTTCTGAGTCACACTGACCCACGGCCTCCCAGGGGCCAAAGACCCCACCCCACAGAGCACAGAAGATGGCACTGGCAGGCCCAGGCACAGATGGTCAGGGAGAGACAGCCCCATTGCTGTAGTCCCCTGTGGCCACATTATGCTCCTTGTCCGGTAGCCAGCTCTCAATCTCCTGCACCTCACCACACAGGCGTGTGGAAGAAGTCACCGCACAGGGCCCTGACTGCTGCCTCTCCCTGCCAGGTGACAGCTTGTGAGGTCTCTGCTGCTGTCTCCCCAGGGTGAGCACAGACCGGCAGGAGCTGAGGCTACCCCAGGAGTGCTCCTGGGCTGCCCACAGGTGCTGCCGTAGATTCTCCTAAGTCGCTCACAAGGAAAAAGCTGTGGAGAGGCGGGAGGTGGGGTGGACAGAGGGCACAACCAGGGTGGGGGCTGGGGGCACAGCTCTAGCACCAGGAAATGGTCTCCCGGCACCCCCTGGAAGGAGCTGTCACAATAGACACGCAGCCCCCTCCACTCCAAAAGGATGGAGAGAAGCGTCAAGGTGAGGGCTGGGCTGTGCTCCACTCTGCCCCTGTTCCTTCTCCCAGGGTGAGCTGGGACGTGGGAAGGAGCCCTGTTCTGGACAAGGAAACATAGTTGACCCCTTGCCCCCTGCCGCCCAGCCTCCACCCTGCACCCTCCACCCTGTCCCCAGCACAGCAGCTTCCATCAGATGCCAGATCTCCAGGCAGGCAAACGCGGGCTGCAAGGGCCATAGCCTGACTTCCTCGCCACACACCTGTACCACCCCTGGCACAGATGTCTTCCCACCCCTCCCTCAGGCCTCCTCTGATGTGGCCATGCCTCGTCTGGTCCCCAGACCCACCACACTCCTTGACATCAGCTAAAGCAAGGGTCCTACCTGAGAAAGCAGCTGAGACCCCGGGGCTCCTATTTCAGCCTCTGAGCACAGTTCCACGTGTCACTCCTGTATCTGGGCCAGGCTGTCCCCAGGGCACTGGAGCCTGAGGCAGATGCTTTACCTGTGAATGGGCAGGCTTGGGGCCACCTCCCTCGTCTGGGAGCCCTCCTCAGCCCCACCCCTGGACCCTCACCACTGGCCCAGAGAAGGGGCTGGAGCAAACCAGAGGACCCAGGCTGGGGAGCTCCTGCGTCCTTTCCCTCAGCACCAGAGTTCAGTGACCATGGATGCCTCAGTTCCCTCACTTGTGAAATGGGCCAAGGTAAACCTGGTGAAGCTTCTGGCCAGAGAGAGGAGAGGAAAAAGAGAAAGGAGGACCGTGAGCAGGAAAGCGAGTGCCTCCGCCTGCTTGCAGGAGACAACCCAGATAGACCAAAAGCCAAGAGCACAAAACCATGTGACAGCTCAGACCAATGTCAGCTTTTTAGACCTTGAAGGCAAGCGTGTTGGTGTTACAGTGACAGAATTAGAACCTAGGGGAAGGTGACAGAGCTGATGAAAATTTGAAGGCGGAGGTTGCAGTGAGCCGAGATTGTGCCACTGCACTCCAGCCCGGGCGACAGGGGGAGACCCCGTCTCAAAAAACAAACAAACAGAAAAAAAAAAAAAGAAAGAAAAGGAGAGTTCTCATCCCAGCCAAGTATAAAGATGCAACTTTTCCCAGAAAAAAGAAATAGAAGACAATGATGTGTGACCTGTAAATTACATGTAAAGAACACAGTAAAGGTCGAACTTCTGAGGCATCAGTCTGAGAAGTTTTAAGAAGAAATAGATTTCAGAATGAAAAATTGTTACCTCTTGTATTCTCATTGAGAACAAATTTGTATCTTAAGAACAGCTTACTTTTCAACCAAAATTCTAGTTTGATATTAGCATATGTTTAAAATTGTATTTTATAAGACCTTTTTTTTTTTTTTTTTTTTTAGACGAGTTTCTGTTTCACTGATATTGATTAGCTCACTGCAAGCTCCCCCCCCCCATTCTCCCGCCTCACCCCATACTGAACACCCCCCCCCCCCCTATTTTTTTTTGTATTTCAGTAGACTTTCACATGTAACAATATTCGATCTTATTGATCCACCCTCGCTCCAAAGTGCTGATACAGCTTAGCACTGGCAATAAGACCTCATAAACAAATCTATCCCAGTTTTGATTGGGATTAGAAATTATGAGGTTATAAAACATTTGTTTCATAAGCCTTTTACCACCCCATAACTTTTTCTGTTTTATAACTGTTTACATTCATTCAGTTGTATTTATCTTTTAAATTTTTCTTTAAAACAATCCCCAAAACTTTTAAACGAGGCAATATTGTTTCAAATCATGAAATAACTCATCATTGTTTGTAGCAGTCTCTGCATTCAGCCTGCTCTAATATTTGGTTTCAGCTTTGGATGTCTCTATTCAGAAGACGGGCCTGTAATCTCCCTCTCATGGGCTGTCTCATACCGCACTTGGTATCAAGATTCTCCGGATCTGGTGAAGGCAGTGTTGCTGTGTTCCTTCTGGATCTATTCTAGCGAAAAGCCTGCATAAACTTGGCATGGGAAACAGGACATTTTCCTAAATAGAGGAAAATGTTTAAGGCAAAAATCTTGATAGAAAAATCAAGAACACAAATTGAGTCGTAAAACTCTAAAATTTGAACATCTATAGACAAACTAGAGTTGGGGAAATAAAAAAAAATCAGGGAGACATTTTAAGTACAAGTGGCTGATCTGAAGAAACTGCAGTGAGAAGAGGGAAATGAGCACACCTTGAGAACAGCAGCAAAGGTCGCCTCCCGTCGTGATCACTGGTCTCTTGGCTCTGCACAGTGTGAAACGGCAGTTCACAGAGTGGCAGCTGGGACGGAGGCAGGACCTTCACCATGAGATGACAGCGGGTGCACTCAGGGTGCTACGGCCGTAGACAAGGGCTCCATCTTCAGACGACCTCCGTGGCAGGTCACCGTAGAATGTTCAAACGAACACATGCCACACTGTGGGGTCCAGCTGCTTCTATCTAGACCAACATCTTTTGGTTGCAAATTCTACATTCTTTTTAAAAGCCAGCATTTCTCATGAGGAAAATGCTCTCTGCCACGCAGTCCGTCCCTGAAGCTGTCACCTGCGGGTGCCATCTTGAATCAGGGCTTAGTTGGTAATGGACTCTTATATTTGCTCACCAAGAAATTCTGCAATTCATCTATAATTTCCATGGTGAGATTTGCGTATCATAATGCAAATAAAATGGAAAGAAGCCAAGAGAAATAAAATTCCCATCTTAGACAAAGAAAGAAGACTTTACCTGGCAAAGAGCTAGGGTCATTTCTGGAAACATCTCACTGGCCACCGTCGCTAGGAAACAGAGTCACTGTCAGCCATGGGAGCTGCTGAAGGACCTCTGGCAGCCTTGGGTGCTGAGGAACAGGGCTGGCATGTGTGGAGGAGGTGGGTGAGAGCACAAACCGAGCTGCTGCTGGGCCACCCTCCCTGGTGGTGAAGGAGGCAAAGGAGACCATCAGGAGAGCCCTGGGAGACACAGCCTTGGGTCTCTGGCTAAGCCACCCTCATCACTGTGAAGTAGGCAGTGTGTTCACACAGGCAGCACACAAATGCAGGACATCACTCCAGGACAGGGTCTCCTCACAGAAAGAGGCCTGGTAAATATCCTCTTTTTTGTAAAAATGTTACTACGTCATCTAACTTTCCTAAAAATACCTATGCTCCTACTGCAGTTATTTTAATGGACTTTAAAATATGGTGAGCTACACACAATATTTACTATTTTAATCCTTAATTTCACGATCCAGGAGCAGAGAGGACCATAACAGCAGACAGAGAGGGGAGCCCAGGCACTTCTCCCTGACCCTGAATCAGAATCCACACAGGAACCTGGAAATGTGTGGGGCTCAGCAGACTGCGGAGGGTGAGCAGGAAGCCTTTTCACACTTCTGGCCTATCTCAGCACTCGGCTGTGTGCATCAGAACATCACTGGGGCCCCAAGATGGGCTGCCCGGGGCTGAGCTCTGGGATGAGAAGGAACAAGGAGGACACGACCCCTACCCTCACAGTGACCAGCCATGGCCAGGATCCCTCCACCCATGGGTGGCAGGTCACAGACTTTGGCACTGATGAGTCCAAGCCTATCTCAGAGAAACAAGCAAAGTGACATCTTATGGGTCACAAGGGAGATTTGCAAGGAACAACTGGCCTCTGGGGCAGCCCCTCCCTTTGCTTAGCTCATCCTACACTGGAACTGGATCCTCTCCCACCTCTGCTGCAACCAGTGTGAAGCAGCTGCCCTGGCCAGGAGCTGTGAGGCTCCCTCCAGTTAAATAGGATTCTGGCCAACACACACCAGCCCCATGCACGCAGCGCCACCCCACGTAGAGAGAACACGGCGGCTCCCAGGGACTGCAGAATGTGCCCGTCTCTCCTTACCTGGAGCAACCACTTCTCCCGCCACAGCCCGGGTCCTCATCACAACAGGAAGCTCCACTCCGGCTGCCTGTGTGCAGGAAAGCCAGCGACACAGCGGCACATTCCTCATCACCTGGATTCTTCGTCCACACGGGAGGGACTGCCCCACATACACCGTTCTCCTTGACTCCTGAAACTTCCTGTAATAACAGAAAACATATTGCTGTGAGCATCAGGCTGTGCTGTGTCCTGTGTGCGCAGGTCTTTTCTTCACTTGGTGACATTAGAAAACCAGATGAAAAACTGTGTTAAAGTCTAAGGAACACAAAAGAACAGGACAAACCGCCTCACGCTACAGACACAATTTCCTTGAATTATGTTTCCTCCAAGTCCATGTGGCTTGGCAATTAAGTAATTTTGTTCCAAGGAGAGAATCAAGCTGCTAAGGAAAAAGCTCACTCCACGCAGTGCGTGGCTGACGCTGTCATTTTATCCTGCTATTCAAAAGCAAGCCTCACTGGGGAACAGGCTCTTACTCAGAATTCACCCGACCAAGGACACAGTGTAAGTCGTCTATAATACATACGGTCAGATTCTCATCTCATAGGCTCATTCAGAAAGATAAAGCTAGGAAAGCAACTGTATTCCTCAGACAAATGCAGGGGTTTGACCTTCAGTTTCCATGGGGCCTCCTTTTTCTTCTCCCTGAGGTGTTCCTCCATGGGGTCCTCGGTGGAATCTAGGAAGACAAAGTGTGACCATCAGCAGGTGCAGGGAGGAGCAGGAAAAACAGCTTTCTAGCCCCAGGCCGCCTCATCAGGTAAAACAGCACATCTTGAACAGGGCACAGCACCCAGGGCAGGCTGGGCGTCCCTGCAGCCTCTCAGGGCTCCTGCCTCCTAATCGGACCCAAGCTCACTTGCCCTCCCTTCCTGCGTCCTTCCAAGGTCATTTCCTTCCTAGAATTCACCTTCTGTGTGTATCTGTCATTCCAGAATATTTTATACTTGGTAAAAAGAAACTGTTGTTTAAGAGAACATTTCATTCTAGCCAAAATATTCTATATATTCACTAATCTTTTGTTTTAAAGATAATAAAACAAAGCTTTGAAAATACGAAGTTATCTTCTCATTTAAAGATAATTCCTACTTAGCAAGTGCTATCTGTCCTGGCACTCAGCCTTCTCAATGCAATGTGTGTGTGTGGGTCGGGAGTCCGTTGCTGCTCACACTCACCGGGGCTTTGACGCTGGGACAGTCCATCATGGGGGCAGCAGGTGAGGGTGCGGACCCTCCCCAACCCAGCCGTGCGGGGAGATGGGTGGTAGGCTAACACCCAAGTTATTCCTTGAAACCATATTCGGTGCTGGGTCTTCACTGTGTTTACTCCTCAACTAAAGCATTTATTTTTCCTCTTTATTATTTTTTTGATAGATGGTCTCTGTCACCCAAGCTGGACTGTAGTAACATGATCTCTGCTCATTGGAACCTGTGCCTTCTGGGCTCAAGTGATCCTCCCCACTCAGCCTCCGAGGTAGCTGGGACTATAGGTGCACCACCACATACAGCTAATTTTTTTTTTTTTTTAAATAGATACGGGGTCTCACCATGTTGCCTAGGCTGATCTCCACCTCCTGGACTCAAGCCATCCTCTTGCCTCAGCCTCCCAAAATACTAGTATTACAGGCGTGAGCCACCCACCTGGCCAACTGGAGCATTTCTGAGGCTTGTGATGATCCTGTTATTAAACACAATAGAGCAGGTCCCTGATTATTCTCTGCTTTTGACCACGAACTGAGAAATGACCCCACCACTGCTGCTGACAGCCTGTGAGCTCTCTATGTGTGTTTCACATTAATGATCACACCAAAGTCCAGTGGAAAATGTAACTATTCCTACCCTGGGTTAGGGAACCTTTGAGACCTCCCTACACCGACAGTGTTTGGGGCCTGTCTAGGCTCTCATCCTTCCACACACAGACAGATGCCGGAATTCCCTGGCATGACGAGTTACACCAGGGCTGGCTGGTGAGTGCACAACAGTAGCCCATTGCATCAATCCTCCATCCATTCCTGAGTTCACATTCGCCTCTTCCATTTAGGAGATCGAGCGCCTGGGAAACTCATCTCTGTACCACCTCTGAGCAGTGTGGATGTAAAATTTACCTTCAGAGACGGCTGTGGTGGAGGATCAATGGGTTAATTATGTGAAGTGTGCAGTGGTGATGCAATTTTTTAAGAAAAGTGCTCCCTGGGTTGTGCTCTGCACGGGGAAACATGCTTTCTGGGGAAATGCACATGCACTCCCAAGACATTCCCAATCACTCCTCCCCACCCCGATGCACACCACACTATTCCATCTACTTGACAATCCTGCCTCCCTAGACTCCAGTGGATGGTCACAGTTCTTTATTGGACTCAGTGTTTTTTACACCGAACTGTCCAAACCTCATTTCTGTCAGGAAGCTCAAACTGAAGTGGCTCTCCAGCAAAAGCAGGCTAGGAGGTGCTACCTTTGGCAACACTAAAGATCTCTCCTTAGAAATCCGTGCTTCCAGAACACACACCTTTTTCTTTGGCGCGTTTGTCGGCCTGCATTTACAGAAAGAAAGACACTGTGAGCTTCAGACCATCCTGTGTCCTGTGTGCACACGTCTTTTCTTCACTTGGTGACATTAGAAAACCAGATGGGAAATCGTGTTCAAAGGAACACAGAAGAATAGAACGAACCGACTCATGCTAAAGTTTTTCCTGGAGGATGTTTCCTCTCAAGGACATGTTGCTTGGCAGTGAAGTGATTTTGCCCCAAGGGGAGAATCAAGCTGCTGAGGGAAAAGCTCACGGCCACTCAGTGTGTGGCTGATGCTGTCATTTTCTCCTGCTGCCTTAAGTCAAGCCTCAGTGGGGAACAGACGCTCATTCAGCATTTCCCCCACCGATGACACCATACAAGTCACCTATGATACATATGATCACATATTAATAAGAAAATAACTTTCTCTCAGATAAAACCAGGTGGCCTGACCTTCAAATGCCATGGGCATCCTCATCTGAGCTCACTGGCGAGGCCTTCCAGGGGATCCTCAGCAGGAACTAGGAGGACACAGAGTGACCGTGAGCACCTTAGTGGTGTTGCCCATCAACAATTCAGAGCCACTGGTTGACATGGGTGTGGGCCACTCCACACTCCACTCGACCTGGGTGGAGAAACCAACTCCAGTGAAACAAATGGAACTTTCTTTGAGATTGGAAGGATCTATTTCTATGTTTACTCAAAGAAGCAGTAAACTTCTTCTAAGGGAGAATTTGGCTACTTTCAGCTTCATGGGGAAAGTGTGAAGGGGGTGCCCTTGCCCCCTCTACACAGGAGAAGTGCGATGTGCTACTGGCAGCCTAGGAGAGCCAGCAGCAGGAGCCCCAGAGAGGCCAATTTTTCCCCCAAA